CACCTGTGTTGGGGCAGCACCAAGGGCCCGATCCTGAAGCTGAGCTCCGGCCTCTGGAGAAGCAGAGATGAGCTCTGGGTTTGTCCGGTTTGTTCAGCAGATTCTGGATAGAAAACGGAGAATCATTGACTTCTTGAGTTTTGTTCTCCATCAGTGAAACTGAGAGTCGAAGAAGAAGAAGAAGAAGAAGAAAGTTCCTCCAGTCCGCAGCTCTGACACATGTGGAGAAATGATCCGATTGAAGAGCAGACTGGAGATAAATGATGGAAATCAAGAGAGAGAGAGAGAGAGAGAATCTTGAGAGAAGAGAGAGAGGTGCGCGCGTTTGTGTGTGTGTGTGTGTGCGCGCGCGTCTTTCATAACTCATCTGGATTTTTTCTTAACAAATTTTGGAAAAGCTTAATTAATATTTGTGTTATTAGTACTGTCTGGGGGATGGATGTCAAGTAGGCTTAATAATATTAAATACAACTAACATTAAAGAAAAAAATAAAAGGCAGAATTTAAACTGTAATCTGCAAAAACGTAAATCCTTAGTTTTGATCAACATATATTAATGATAAAAAATACGACTCTTGCACTGACGTTGAGGTTGATCTGCTGAACTCTCTCTCTCTGTGTGTGTGTGTGTGTGTGTGTAACTGTTCTCCTTTCAGCGGTCTGACACCAGGAAAGCTCGCTTTCTTGACTGAGTTTAGGAAAATACACCCAGACGCACTATGTTATTAATATAAGACTTATTGCTGTTATTTATAGTATTGTATCCGCACAAATTGATGCATTGACTGTTTTCATGACCGCGTGCCTGTTTGAGCCAGGTTTGAGCGCGTGCACGGCACCCAGCGGCCAGAGGACGCATGCGCAGAAACACTGATGGATCAGACCAGTCCTGCACTGCCCCCTGCTGTCCAACACAACACATCAAGCCAAACACAGGTGTGTGTTCATGTTTATTCATCTCAGGATCAGTGACAAACACACAGACACAACCGATGAACAGCTGTCAATCATCAATAAGGCACCAGCTCGATCAATAACTGTAACAGACGTATGAGACAGCTTTATCTTAACGTGATCATCTCAGAAACTCATGGAAAAAACAAAACTACAGAAGCAAGAAATGATGCGTTTCGAGAGAGTGCAGGGGTCAGTACAGACACACACAACAAACTAAACTTTATCAAATAAACTCCATCAGTGTTTTAGTACGTGAAGAGCTGCAGCTTATGTATTCTGGATCTCCGGATGTCCGAGTCAGCCGCCGAACTCCGTGTCGATGATCTTGGCCATGGTGCTCAGCTGGATGTTGGTGGTTCCCTCGTAGATGCTCCCTGCAGGGAAACGGCCGTCAGTGAACAGAACGCAACATGACATCATGACTTTTGCGTAAACACACACTTTCGAGTCAAGTGGTGTGTTATCTCTACGCATTTTGAGCTATCCGCGTGTATCCATGTGTATGTTTACGCCATTAACGTCCGAGTGATTCCGCGTGTCTGTACACGCCATCAAATATCCGCGCGAAAAACGAAGCAAAATGTAGATCTACATCTGGGGAGTGATCTTTTTTTTTCCAAGGATGGTAAGGGAACAGTCATAAATGCCATTAACCCCAGTGACGGGTCTTACAGTCGCGGCGGCGCGGCACTCACCGATCTTACAGTCGCGGTAATACTTCTCGATGGGATAGTCTTTGGTGAACCCCACTCCCCCCATCCACTCGATGCACTTAGAGGTGGTCAGAGCCGCAACCTGAAAACACAAACACACACACACACTAGTGTCAGAGCAGCACAGACTCACACACACACACACACACACACACAGACACACACACACACACGCACTGACTGACACACTGACCTCTGCACTGAAGTATTTGGCCATGCAGGCCTCTTTGATGAAGGGTCTTCCGGCCTCCTTCAGTCTCGCCGCGTTATACGTCAGCAGTCGAGCGGCTTCCAGCTGTGTGGCCACATGAGCGATCTGATGCTGCAGACCCTGCTCACAACATCACATTACACAGGCGTGTGTGACGGACGAGCCCAACACGCCACACACACTCACACACACACACAGGTGAAGTACCTGGAAGTCAAAGACGCGTTTGCCGAACTGAACCCGCTGCCTGGTGTAGGGAACCGCGTGATCGAAGCAGCCCTGAGCCAGACCCAGCATCTGAAACACAGCAGAGACGTGAGACCGGCCTTCATTCTCACACACACACACACACACACACACACCTGTGCTGCGATCCCGATCCGGCCCTCATTCAACATCCCAATGGCGTATTTATACCCGTGACCGACTTTCCCCAAAATGTTCTTCTGGTGAATCTGCGGATGAAGCACATCGTCAGTACGCTAACATTTGATGATGCGGTGAGGTGGTGATGATGATGATGATGATGATGATGATGATGATGTAAAATGAAGACAGCCTTCACCTTCATGTTGTCGAATGTGAGAGGGCAGGTGGACGAGGCTCTCAGGCCCAGTTTATTCTCCTTCCTCCCGATGCTGAGCCCGTCTGTGTCTCGGTCCACGAGGAAGCAGGTGATCCCTTTGTAGCCCTGCACACACACACACCTTCTGTTAAATAACATTCAGTTGTGGTTTGATTTTCCCCGAACCCTCCCGTGATCCTGCAGAACACTCGGACACACGCGACACACACGCGTCACACACGCGTCACACACGCGACACACACGACACACACACGCGACACAGCGGATCGTTCTGTGAGACTCGTGTCTTTTTTCAAAGCTTGAGACGGGTCACTATTCACAGCCATAAGACTTACAGCTACATGTGTGTGTGTGTGAGAGTGTGTGTTAGAGAGAAAGTGTGTGTGTGTGAGTGTGTTAGAGTGTGTGTGTGTGTAAGTGAATGTGTGTGTGCGTGTTAGAGAGTGTGTGTACGCACCGCGGCGGGTTCAGCGTTGGCCATGACCAGAAACACTCCGGCATGTTCCGCGTTACTGATCCACATCTTGGAGCCGTTGATGATGTAATAATCGCTGTGTTTCTCGGCTTTAGTCTTCAGAGAGAAAGCGTCGCTGCCCGACTCCGACTCCGACAGGCAGAAGCTGCCGACCTGAAGAACACACACACACACACACACACACACACACCGTCAGTCAGAGAGAGAGAGTGAGTGAGTGTGTGTGTGAGTGTGTGTGTGTGATAGTCACCGTGTCGCTGGCGAGGCGAGGCAGGTATCGCTGCTTCTGCTCCTCAGTGCCCAGGTTCATCAGGAGTGTGTTGATCAGTGTGTTCTGGATGTCACACAGCACCGACACCGACGGGTCGACCTTCGCCAGCTCCTCGATCACCAGAACAGACGAGAAGAAGGAGGAGCCGGTGCCGCCGAACTCAGGTCCGATCTCAATCCCCATCAGCTGAACACACACACACACACACTCCGATCTCAATCCCCATCAGCTGAACACACACACACACACTCCGATCTCAATCCCCATCAGTTAAACGCACACACACACACACACACACACACACACACTCACTCCCTGCTGGAACAGAGCGCTGATCACGTCTGCATCCATGACTGAATCCTCGTCCATCTTGGAGACAAAAGGAGCGATGCGTTCCTGAGCGAACCTCCTCACTGGGGGAGAACAAACTTCAGTGAGTGTGTGTGTGTGTGTTCAGCTGATGGGGATTGAGATCGGAGTGTGTGTGTGTGTGTCTCACCGGCGTCTCTCATCATGCTCTCCTCCTCCGAGTAGCTCTGTAACGGTGGGAACGATGCTCTCGTGTCCGGAGGAGTTTCCGCGGCCGCGGCTCGTGAACACAGGAGTCTGACAGCGGCGCGCGAGCGGGTCACATGATCACACACCTGCACACACACACACACTTATACACAATCTCTGTACATGGCAGAAACGCTGCCAAGCAAATCATAAAATGTAAAAATAATGATAATACAAATTTAAACCAAAATATTAAAACACATAGGCTATTTGTTTAGCTGTGTGCCATGTGACTATTAAGTATTTTTAATATTTAATTTATTTATTCGAACACTAAACCTGTCAACTGGATGATTTCCAGCTTTAGTCTTTAAAAGAGAATAAAAGATTAAACAGATAAATACAGACACAATTTATAGGCAAAACAATTAAACCGGTAAATGTGACGTTAAATTATTGAAATATTATTTTAATCTCTGGCGTACAGTAAGGGTCCGATCACGTGACCTGTCAGTGGAAGACTGAACACACACTCCTGATTTATCGAGTCAAACACTGTTGTGTACATGAACGTCTTCAGTACAGCGGTGTCGTGTTAGCGGCCCTTTAAAGTGAATAACTAATCGATCAAAACTAACTTTATCTGGACAGTAACTTTATTCTAGATCTGCTGTGAAACCTAAACACTCTCTGTGACTGTAATCTCTGTTATCACTGTAGATGCTGTGGAACATCTGTGCTGGTAAACTGCGCTGTATCTGAAGGTGACTCGACCTGATCTGATCCTGACAGTCGAAACACACGAATCTAACGACAGATCAGACACAGAAACCCATCAGAGGAATCTGAAACAATCACATGCAAACATGCCTTTAGGATACAAACATGTATTGATCTAATCCAGACTGTCAGTCATAAAACATGGTTGTTATGAAATGTTCGGCTATCGCTCCCATTGCAAAAGTCTGATAATTTCATGTAAATATGATGTTATGTCTGCGCTCAGTGTCAGGCGCGTTGTGTGCTGAAGCTTTAACGTCGAGCGTGTTGTTGTTTGTTTGTTGTTGTTTGTTTGTTCTGACCTGTCGCAGCATTCTGAGCCCGGGCGCCATTCTGGCTCTGCGTCACTCTCTAAAGTGTCCGGGGGAAACAAGCAGCGGAACTCACGGAAAACGGAACAAACACCTTTATTTTGCAACTATGACAAACCAGTGCCAGTTTACTAAAATTAATCTATAATAACGTCCGTAAATTAGTTCAATAATCCTGGCGCTACTTATCGTCTGAAATTTATGTATCACAAACTGGAGATTCGTCAGAAGGATCATCGGATACATTTATTAAATAATACGCATTATGATGTAAGAATTGTATACATTTCAGAAATTATACTCGACTTGGGGCTCAATGAATTTATTGCCAATTACATAATTCATCATTCCTTATACCCATCATTTTTTGAAAAAATAAAATGTTAAGATTGAATAATGCATGTTTACAAGTCAAACATTCAAGTGTTTGTGACCGATGCATTGAAAACATTTACAGTATTTAGAAACCCAGATGTCAGAGGTCATAAATGATGGATTTCAGAGTTCCTCAGGTGTGTGTTCCTCCTCAGGTGTGTGTTCCTCCTCAGGTGTGTGTTCCTCCTCAGGTGTGTGTCCCTCCTCAGGTGTGTGTCCCTCCTCAGGTGTGTGTTCCTCCTCAGGTGTGTGTTCCTCCTCAGGTGTGTGTTCCTCAGGTGTGTGTTCCTCCTCAGGTGTGTGTTCCTCCTCAGGTGTGTGTTCCTCCTCAGGTGTGTGTTCCTCCTCAGGTGTGTGTTCCTCCTCAGGTGTGTGTTCCTCCTCAGGTGTGTGTTCCTCCTCAGGTGTGTGTTCTTCAGGTGTGTGTTCCTCGGGTGTGTGTTCCTCCTCAGGTGTGTGTCCCTCAGGTGTGTGTTCCTCCTCAGGTGTGTGTTCCTCCTCTGGTGTGTGTTCCTCCTCAGGTGTGTGTTCCTCAGGTGTGTTCCTCAGGTGTGTTCTTCAGGTGTGTGTTCCTCGGGTGTGTGTTCCTCCTCAGGTGTGTGTCCCTCAGGTGTGTGTTCCTCCTCAGGTGTGTGTTCCTCCTCAAGTGTGTGTTCCTCGGGTGTGTGTTCCTCAGGTGTGTGTTCCTCCTCAGGTGTGTGTTCCTCCTCAGGTGTGTGTTCCTCAGGTGTGTGTTCCTCCTCAGGTGTGTGTTCCTCCTCAGGTGTGTGTTCCTCCTCAGGTGTGTGTTCCTCCTCAGGTGTGTGTTCCTCCTCAGGTGTGTGTTCCTCAGGTGTGTGTTCCTCAGGTGTGTTCCTCAGGTGTGTTCTTCAGGTGTTCGGACAGAGTCTGGTGTGTGCGCCGCTCGAACGCCAGCAGTTCCTCCTCAGGGTAAAGAGGACGGTCCTTCTTCAGATCCTGCAGGAACCGAGTCTTCATCTCGTTCAGCTCTTTAGCGAGAGCCTTCAGCACATCTGGAGACGCCTGCGCTTCTGTGGGACAGCACAACACACACACACACACACACACACTCTGAACACAATCCTGGCACACAGATATAATACACACCCCCCGCGCCGTTGGACTGAGCTAGCCTCAGATTAGCGGAGGTTAGCATGGCTGGTAGCGTACCGCGAGCCGAGGCCACGGCGTGAGACACCAGGCGTCTGCAGGTCTGATCGGCCCGATGGAGAGCGCTGGACGCACAGATGCGCCGGTCCGACTCCTGAAACACAGAGGACAGAGGGTCACCGCTATCCGTGTTCATCTGCTGTAATCGTTACGAAACCGACCCAAACCCCAGCGTGAGAGAGTGTGTGTGTGTGTGAGTGTGTGTGAGAGAGTGTGTGTGTGTGTGTGAGTGAGTGAGTGTGTGTGTGTTCAGACCTTCTGCGGAGACTCGTCCTGGACGGGCCTCAACGGGTTCTCCAGCGCCGACGCCAGCAGGTCCACCAGCTTCTGCCTTCAGGAGAAACGAGTCATCATCATCTGACACACACACACACACACACACACACACACTACATCTGACGATCTGTGGAGTCACCAGGGACGATTCTCGCTCATTCGAAATGATTTCTGGGTGCACATCGTTACTGTAATTAATCTGGAGTCAGAATAACTTCTCTGAGGACGCCCTACAGCGATGCTCTCGGACCCGCGTGTGTGTGTGTGTGTGTGTGTGTTTGACCCACAGGTCTCGGTCAGCGATGCTCTCGGACCCGCGTGTGTGTGTGTGTGTGTGTGTGTTTGACCCACAGGTCTCGGTCAGCGATGCTCTCGGACCCGCGTGTGTGTGTGTGTGTGTGTTTGACCCACAGGTCTCGGTCAGCGATGCTCTCGGACCCGTGTGTGTGTGTGTGTGTGTGTGTGTGTTTGACCCACAGGTCTCGGTCAGCGATGCTCTCGGACCCGTGTGTGTGTGTGTGTGTGTGTGTTTGACCCACAGGTCTCGGTCAGCGATGCTCTCGGACCCGTGTGTGTGTGTGTGTGTGTGTGTGTGTTTGACCCACAGGTCTCGGTCAGCGATGCTCTCGGACCCGTGTGTGTGTGTGTGTGTGTGTGTGTGTGTGTGTGTTTGACCCACAGATCTCGGTCTGGGATGCTCTCGGACCCGTGTGTGTGTGTGTGTGTGTGTGTGTGTGTGTTTGACCCACAGGTCTCGGTCTGGGATGCTCTCGGACCCGTGTGTGTGTGTGTGTGTGTGTGTGTGTGTGTGTGTTTGACCCACAGGTCTCGGTCAGCGATGCTCTCGGACCCGTCCAGCGTGACGCTCTGCTTCTCCCAGCGGTTCCGGCTCTGGTTCGGAGGCTCCATGCGCTCACACACCTGGACCAGCACCTCCTCAGGGACTCGCTGAGATCTCCGCCGGTTCCTCTGGACACACACCTGCAGCGGACAGTGCAGGAACACCTGGCAGAAGCCCACGCCGTCTGTCCAACACACACACACACAGGTCATCAGCACACACACTCTCCAGCAGCCCGCCTCAGACACACACGATCTGCACCTACACTTCCTCGCCAGCTGGTGGATCTGGAACCTCATGCTCTGGTAGTAGAAGTTGTCATCCAGCAGCAGGACGAGCGGCTGTGAGTGTGTGTGTGTGAGAGAGACGCTCTGCTGCTGCAGCATCTGCTGGAAGCGCATCCAGACGCCGGAGAGTGTGTGAGTCTGATCGGAGAGTGTGTGAGTCTGATCGGAGAGTGTGTGATCGGAGAGTGTGTGATCGGAGAGTGTGTGAGTCTGCTGCAGGAATTTCTCCAAACACACCAGAACCGTCTTCCTGTGCTGCTTCCATTCAGTCTAGAACACAAAACAATACAAAAGACACATGAGCCAAACAAAGAGAACAGAAAACTAACTTACAGAAAACACTCACTCACTCACACACACACACACTCACTGTCACTCTCATTCTCTCTCTCTCTCTCTCTCTCTCTCTCTCTCTCTCTCACACACACACACACTCAGAAGAAGATTTTGACAGTCATCATCACAGCACGACACTGTACGGAGATGAGACATAATAACATGAAACAGAACCTCTTGCCAGTCGCGCGCTGGGATCAGTTCGTCATACGTCACGAGAAGCATCCTCCAGCCGAGCCCGTGCGCGTGACCCCGCAGCTCGTGCGCTAGACGGGATTTCCCCGCCGCCGGTAAACCGCACAGAACGCACAGGCACGCGCGTGCGGTAGACATCGGAGATTTGAGTTGATCACGTGCTACTTCTGACCAGCGCGTCAGAACACATGCGCGCATGTGCGTGCAGAGCCCGCCCACTCACAGAACATCGACCGCTCATTGGTTAGTGGCGCTAAACGTCAATGATAACAGGAAGTCCGATTCGTTCACTTCAGTCTCTGCATGGAATCCATCCATATAAACTTTAAAACTGCGAGTGTGATCTGATTACTGCAGGAAATAGTAACCTAGAGCACGACGGGACCGTTGCTGTGTGTTATACACGTCGTGATACTCTCCAGTGAATTATATCAGAGGTTTCTTTCTCTTTCTCCTCAGATGTCAGACTGCGAGCCGCTGAAGAAGCGCCAGAGGCCGCTGGAGTCTGAACACAAGTACAGCTAAAGAAGAAACAAACTTTAACAGCTGAACTTTCTCTAAATTATCATTTATAATGTGATTTCTTTTAAACAGGCCTGAAGATGCAGAAAACCGAAGAAAAGAAGCCGTTCGTCCTGACAGTTCATCTAAACTCCAGAGGAAGAGACAGATCCCGGGGAAAAGCAGTCAGATCTCTCTGGATCTCTGGCTGCAGAAGAAGCCCAGTGTGACCCGGAAGAGCTCAGCTCACCCTGACCTCTCGAACTCTCCAGAGCGCGACCCCGCGAGGGTCCAGCCCAGACGAGCCGGTTCTGATCCGGAGGCGCGCAGAACCACACACTTCTTCACTAGCAGCAGGTGAATAACGCTCTGTGTTCTCATTGGACAGCAGAGATGCGCTGGTGACGGCGAGCGCCAATCAGAGCGGCGACCGTTACGATACTTAATTAATATTCATGATGAGCGTTTGTAGAAAAAGTTTCTGGAGAGTTTAGTTTTTAATCTTTGCTATTTCTGTGTCCATGGCAACTATTGCATGATTCAGATCCTTGCCAATTAATTCGATACACACCGTAAACATCATGCAGTTTTATGACGAGCAGCTGTTCTGTGAAACGGAAAGTGAAAGTGACTGAGGTTACAGTGGAAGTGAGTGCGACAGTGATGGACGTGGACCCGGAGTCGGACCCCAACTCGGTGCTTGTGCACGTGTGTGTCGCGGTGTTCCTCGTGACGTGTGTGTTCGGGCTCCTGAGGGCCTCCGCGGTCGGTAATCTGTAATCTCGTCTGATCAGTGTGATGATGGTTTCAGGTTTGGTGCTAAAGCTGCTGATGTTGTTGTAGAACCTGACAGAAGTGATGAGGATGATGAGGATCAGATGCAGGATCGGCTCGATCTTCCGCAGATTCGCGTGAGTTTGTGATTAAATGCTCTGTCAGTTTTTGCTAATCCCTGACAGGAAGTACTCCTGTCTGAAAGTGGAAGAGCCAATCACAAACACTCATTTGAGCTCTGAGTCGAGTCGCCTTCACTTATACTGCACTTTAACAATATAGATAAACAATAAAGTTATTGTCCAGATAAAGTTATTTTTGATAGATTCACTTCCGTTGCAAAGATCATTAGTCATTAACTTGGGGGCCGCTATAAACACGACACTTTTAATGTGCTCCAGCTGTTCATTTAAACAACAGTGTTCGGTGCTCGAGAACGCAAACTTTGAAACAAGTTCCAAGGTGCAAGTTTGTTAAAGTGATGGACGCTAAAAACAGCACAATCAAGCCGAAGCTGGTCTCATCTGGCCTCGTCTGGTCTTATCTCGTATTGTCTGGTCTCATCTGGTCTCATCTGGCCTCATCTGGTCTTATCTGGCCTCGTCTGGTCTTATCTAGTCTCATATGGTCTTATGATTATCTGGCCTCGTCTGGTCTTATCTCGTATTGTCTGGTCTCATCTGGTCTTATCTTGTCTTATCTGGTCAATTCTCTGTCAAATCTAGATTTGATCTAGTGTTGTTCACAGGTGTCATTAATGGCATTCCCTGTTGGACTGAATCACTGAAGAACCAACTTTATGTTCTGCAAGATCCTCTTTTTTACTAAACGTCTTTTAATGCAATTAGACAAAGTTTGTATTTAGGAAGCTCTCCTAAAGACCTGCTGTTTCATCAAATATTCCATCAGGTTTAGAATTGTTATCATTGTTATCAACATTTATAACTTTACAACACTCAAGGTGAACCAAAGTGCTTTCCAGAGAAAACACATTTAAAATTTAAAAAAATTAAAAAACTTTATTTTTTCTTAGTTCTTAGTTAAAAAACTAAGAAACTGGAAGCCACTGGAGTGAAGAAAGTCTTGGAGTTGCATGCTCATGTTTACGTGTATTCGTTAGAAGACGGGCTGCATCATATGAAAAATGTACAACAAAATGTGTAAATTTAATTGACTGTATTTGTTATTGTATTTATGTAGATCTTGTGTAGCTTGTAACACACATTAACAGCAGCTTGAGTCTCTGATCATGTGATTGGCTCCTCAACCCTGATTCGCTCTTCGCAGGGCTGCAGCAGGGGCTGATGGGAAGGCGCTCAGCAGTGATGTCATCAGTCAGGATGTTACTCTCGCTGACCTGAGGAGGGCGCCGGCATGCAGTGGCTCCTTACCGCCCCTCAGACCCGCTGACGGCACACGGTCATGATCTGGGTGAGTTACGGTCATGACCCGGGTGAGTTACGGTCATGATCCGGGTGAGTTACGGTCATGATCCGGGTGAGTTACGGTCATGATCCGGGTGAGTTACGGTCATGACCCGGGTGAGTTACGGTCATGATCCGGGTGAGTTACGGTCATGACCCGGGTGAGTTACGGTCATGACCCGGGTGAGTTACGGTCATGACCCGGGTGAGTTACGGTCATGACCCGGGTGAGTTGCGGTCATGACCCGGGTGAGTTACGGTCATGATCCGGGTGAGTTACGGTCATGACCCGGGTGAGTTACGGTCATGACCCGGGTGAGTTACGGTCATGATCCGGGTGAGTTACGGTCATGACCCGGGTGAGTTACGGTCATGACCCGGGTGAGTTACGGTCATGACCCGGGTGAGTTACGGTCATGACCCGGGTGAGTTACGGTCATGACCCGGGTGAGTTACGGTCATGACCCGGGTGAGTTACGGTCATGACCCGGGTGAGTTACGGTCATGACCCGGGTGAGTTGCGGTCATGACCCGGGTGAGTTACGGTCATGACCCGGGTGAGTTACGGTCATGACCCGGGTGAGTTACGGTCATGACCCGGGTGAGTTACGGTCATGACCCGGGTGAGTTACGGTCATGATCCGGGTGAGTTACGGTCATGACCCGGGTGAGTTACGGTCATGACCCGGGTGAGTTACGGTCATGACCCGGGTGAGTTACGGTCATGACCCGGGTGAGTTACGGTCATGACCCGGGTGAGTTACGGTCATGAACCGGGTGAGTTACGGTCATGATCCGGGTGAGTTACGGTCATGACCCGGGTGAGTTGCGGTCATGACCCGGGTGAGTTACGGTCATGATCCGGGTGAGTTACGGTCATGACCCGGGTGAGTTACGGTCATGACCGGGTGAGTTACGGTCATGACCCGGGTGAGTTACGGTCATGATCCGGGTGAGTTACGGTCATGACCCGGGTGAGTTACGGTCATGACCCGGGTGAGTTACGGTCATGACCCGGGTGAGTTACGGTCATGACCCGGGTGAGTTACGGTCATGATCCGGGTGAGTTACGGTCATGACCCGGGTGAGTTGCGGTCATGACCCGGGTGAGTTGCGGTCATGACCCGGGTGAGTTACGGTCATGATCCGGGTGAGTTACGGTCATGACCCGGGTGAGTTACGGTCATGACCCGGGTGAGTTACGGTCATGATCCGGGTGAGTTACGGTCATGACCCGGGTGAGTTACGGTCATGATCCGGGTGAGTTACGGTCATGACCCGGGTGAGTTACGGTCATGACCCGGGTGAGTTACGGTCATGATCAGTCAGACCGGATAAGGAACCGTCAGTGAGGAGTCTGGGAAACTCAGGGTTTGTAACGGTTTCGCCGGTTGTCTTCCAGACGGAGCGTTTGGATCCTGAGGAGGTTCCGGTGCCGTTTCCAGAGACTCGGAGCGACAGCTGGGACGATTCCCACGTCAAACTGCCCTTCTATGTGGACCGAACGGTCAGACACACACACTCACATCCACAAACTGTTCCACACACACTCTCACATACACAATCTGTTCCCTGTGGACCAAACGGTCAGACACACACACACACACACACACACACGTTCCTGCAGTGGCTTCATTACTGTGATGTTGTTTGTGTGAATGTTTGCAGACTCTCCAGAGCCGATGGGATTTGATCGCCCGATCCCTGAGCACCCCGTTCACGTCTTCTCTCGATGTGAAGGTGATGTCACTTCCTCCCCTCTGAACTCACACAGATTTGCTTGGTTTTACTCAATGCCTTCTGTGTCAGTGTGTGTGTGTGTGTGTGTGTGAACATCATCAGCTATAAATTAACCTTTACAAATGAACTAAATATGACTCAATGTCCCTAATTTGGAAGAATGATTCATAATTTGGAAGAATGAATCATATTGTTTTATTGAAATTTTAAAGATGCAAAAAGGTTTGGTCAATCAGTATTCATTGAAATTAGGTTTATAGTTAATCAATATTAGTCTGTCTTGACCTCATTAAGATAAGTGCTAATGAATGAAAGGTGTTGTGGTGTCCTGGTTTGTCCAGATGAGGGCAGCAGAGCTCCACCAGTGATGAACACACACACACACACTCTCTGCAGGACGTGAAGCTGCTTCTCACACTTAATTCAAGATTTAACCTTTTTCAAATATGTTATATGTCTTTTTCAAACTCTCCAGGACGCCATCCTGAGATATAACCCTGACCGAGCGAAGGGGTGGGACTTCACTGCACTGCACTCGTACTGTACGGTGAGACACGCCTGTAACACACACACACACACACACACACACACACTTCACTGCACTGCACTCATACTGTACGGTGAGACACGACGCCTGTAACACACACACACACACACACACACTTCACTGCACTGCACTCATACTGTACGGTGAGAGACGCCTGTAACACACACACACACACACACACACTTCACTGCACTGCACTCATACTGTACGGTGAGACACGCCTGTAACACACACACACACACACACACACACACACACACACTTCACTGCACTGCACTCATACTGTACGGTGAGACACGCCTGTAACACACACACACACACACACACACACACACACACACTTCACTGCACTGCACTCATACTGTACGGTGAGACACGACGCCTGTAACACACACACACACACACACACACACACACACACACACACACACACACACACTCAGCTGTGTTCAGTCATGTGACTCTCCTGCCTCTGCACCGCTAGTATCAGTGAACGCGAGCGTCCTGTTATTGATTCGGTGTTATTTATGGTACAGGTCGTCATAAAACACTTTGTTTTCCTTTGAATTGTTGCAACCCTTCAGTCAATAGTTTTAATTAATAACGGCGAGAGCGAGCGGAAGAGGGATCGATGCGCGAGGGGCAGGAAGCCGTCGCCGGTGATCGTCACGCGGTTCCTCAATCTCGCTAATCGCTCGCGGCGTCACACACACTGCGCGGGAACGCTACACACACAAGCAGACTTCAGACTGACAGATGGCCTTCATTCTGACACCGCCTGACATATGAAAATATGAATTTCTTTTCTTTAGAAAAGATCAAATGTGATTTTACTGAGTTTATTGGTAATTTCAGCTCAGCCTGGGTGTGTGTTTCCGTCAGTGAGATGATGACATCATCAAAACTCAGGTCGTTATGAATCTTCAGCATTTCACAGTGAAATATAGTCGGTTTATATTCTGGAGATTGCAGTGCAGATATTACTGATCATATTTCTTTGGAAACTGATTATCTCATAACGTATATTTAATGGTGTATTTCCCAACGCTCTGCTTGTAATTGTTGTTTTAATTAATCAGTTTTTGATGGTCATTTTCCACCCTCTCTAGTAATAAATGAAACGATGAGGAACACGAGTGTGTGTTCCTGCTGATCGCTGCACAACGCTAATGAGGTGGTCATATGCTAATGAGGTGGTCATATGCTAATGAGGTGGTCATATGCTAATGAGGTGGTCATATGCTAATGAGCCTGTGATGTCAGTGTTGTGATGATGTCATTTCAGGACTGGGGAGTACAATGAAGTTTATCTCAAATCAAAATATTCTTCATATTTCTCATGACGTATGACAGTTCAAGAGAAGCAGATCTCAGATGTCAAAGGAAAGGTGTGTGTGTGTGTATGTGTGTTCCTCCTGCTGCGGACGGACAGTAAAGGAAAGGTGTGTGTGTGTGTGTGTCCACTTCAACAGTTAACGATGTTAGTGGTGGAGATGTTTAATAGAAGCGAGTGTGAAGATGAATGAGACGCGCTTTGATTGACAGGTGCAGTTTGATTGACAGGTGCAGTTTGATTGACAGGTGCAGTTTGGCGGTGTAACTTATTTGATTGACAGAGTCTGATTGTTTGTTTTCTTGCTGATATCTGAATGACACACACACAGCATGTTAATTCCTGTACGACTCGACGTCTCGATGTGAGATTAGGATGAGGGATGTGTGGTCAGATGTTGTAATCGTGCGTGTGTGTGTGTGTGTGTGTGTGTGTGTGTGTGTGTGTTGGTCTGTTCCTGAGTCTCAGCTGGCTCTCGACCGGCTCTGGGTTTATGATGGAAGCGCCACCGTTATTTACGACCTGTTCGGGGTCGTCTGCACGTTTGTCCTGAGCTGAACGGGCTCGTTGGAGTTCTTCGTCTGCATTTGTTCCCGGACGGGTTTTAATCCGATGGGAAAGCTGATGAAATGCGCTGTAGATTGATGCCTCTGACGTGCCATCGTAAACAAGAGCGGAGTAACTATCATCTGTGATAGACTGACACTGTGTGTGTGTGTGTGTCAGTGCTCATGCCATAAACTGCTGATTGGGCCGTGTGTGTGTGTGTGTGTGTGTGTGTGAGAGCAGAGATGGAGCCGCTGATTTTACGGCCGCCTGGTTCCCGTCGTGTGATGGTTTGGTCGGACAGCTCTGAAGAGCGCCTGCATTTCTTCTGCTCGTTAGTGTCAAACTCTAAAAGCTCTGAAGGTCCGTCTTGATGAAATGAATTTCTGCTTGTCATGGATTGTCTGTAAATTAGAATAAAAATGCAGTAGCTGTGTGTGTGTGTGTGTGTGTGTGTGTGTGTGTTTACAGAGCAGGAGAAACCTGCCTCCAAACAGGACATGAAATCATTTTCTGGCTCTTGATTGACCGGCAGTTTGAGTTTCTGTGCTGATCTCCATGTCTCTGGAGGACACACACACACACACACACACAACCTTTATTTATATAGCGCTTTTTACAGCACAGAGTGTTTCAGAGCAGATTTACAGAGAGAACAGGAATATAATTAAAGTTTCTCTCTAGAAGAAAAAAGCGTCACAGTCCAGCTTAACGCCCGTTTCACACATACTCCGTTTGCAGTGCGTATGCGGTGAGTGTTGCGGTGCGTATCCGGTACAGGAGCCGCACGCGCTAAAGTGCTTTCACATATGCTGCGTTTGCAGTGCGTGAGCTGTACCACAAACACTCGCTATTTTTATTTCAAAATCAGAAGTTATGCAGCAATAGCGTGACCAGTGACCAACAGTCCTGTTATCCCAGTCCTGTTTTCACGTCCTTCCTGGCCGTTTTTTATAAAGTGATGTCCTGGTTTTCAAAAAAAAAAAAAAAAAAAAAACCGCTGGAAAAGATCAGCTTTACAGCTAAATATAGGAGATGAGCAAACAAGGAGGATGAGGAGGAAAAACATGATAAAGAGGAAGGAAACTAGTTTGTTTTTGTACGTTTGTGAGAGGTATTTTTGTTCAATTTGAAGGTATTTCTTTTAGTTAATTCATATTGATATATTTATTTTTCTAACACAGAAGAGACATTATTTTTTAATCATTTTATTTTATTCATTATTTTTTAAACCAACCTGTCATAATAAAACATGTTGAGTATCCTCTGAGAAGCCTATCTGAATTTGTGTCTTAATACAACAATTTTCTATATCCACAGAGGGGGCATAGCCTATTTTAATTGTATTGAAATTAATAAGGCATCTTTGAGTAAACTTCGAGTATCATTTGTTTTCTGGGCCATGTGTCCTGGTTTTTGGTAATCAAAATATGTTCACCATATGCAGTAACTTTTTTTAAAATAAAAGTTTTGCCATGGCTTTGCGATTCTCTTTTACAAACTTGAATGGACGCATGCTCGTTTAAACACGATTTAAACAACGAATGCATACAATTCCATGCATTACTTGTATATTAAGATGTTTTAAAGTAAAAAATATGAAACAATTAAATACCTTTATGGAGAGATTACTACATTTTATTGAATTAAATGCATTTATGGTGAAACTACTACATTTCGAGGTCAATCTGAGTTCATTTTGACGACGAACCGTGCGCTGTCACTTTATTTCTGCGTTTGCAGCACAGCAGAAATAGACTCGGTACGGAAACGATCTCTGCACTGCTGTATACGCACCGCAACTGGAACGGATCGACGGACTGCATCCGCGTGCAGTGTGAAAGCTCTAACCTGTTACATGGGTACGGAAAAAAATACGGACCGCATACGCACTGCAAACGGAGTATGTGTGAAACGGCCGTAAGTCAGTTCAGTGATGCTCCATTGCTGTTGGAAAAAAGTTATTTAGTTAATTTATATATATATATATGTGCTCTGGAGAAAACCGTGATGTCATCGTCCAGCTCAGTTCAGTTCTCATATAATGGAGTCAATCCAGGATAGTAAGTCAAATGTTCCACAATATTACAGAGTAAAGAAACACATGACAGAAACAGGCCTGATCTCCCACAGATGCGCAAGCACACACACAACCCAGTGTTCATCTGCGCCCGGCTGTGAAATCCAATGTCTGATTCTGATTATTGGATGTCCGTGTCTGTCCAGGGTCTGCAGGGGTCAGAAGCAAAGCAGATGTTTGGGAAGCTGCTTCCAGCCATGGCACAGCTGGCACTGAGAGCGCCGAGCCTCTTCACACAGGTACCACAACCTCCATCACACACAAAACACACCACAACCTCCATCACAATCACTCACAAAACACACACAAACACACCACAACCTCCATCTCCATCACTCACAACACACACACAAAACACACCACAACCTCCATCTCAATCACACACAAAACACAAAACACACCACAACCTCCATCACTCACAACACACACCAGAGCCTCCAGAGCGAACACTCCAGCACTCATTGATTAGTTGATCAAGTGTCCACCCACTGATTCTCCACATTGCAGTTGCCTTTGCCAATAGTGAAGAGCATTTTTAGTGTTTGAGAAGGATGTTGTTAATAATATCTGTTGTGTGTGTGTGTGTTTAGCCGATCCCGCTGCTGAGCGTTCAGCGATGCGTCTCCGTCACGCTCTCGCAGGAGCAGGTCTCGAGTCTGCTGGCGAACGCCTTCTTCTGCACTTTTCCTCCACGCAACTCTCGCAGCAGCTATCCGGACATCAACTTCAACAGGTGCGCGTCCTCAGATCAGTGTGTGAGAGGATGACGGCTGATACTCGATGGACATGACTGAGACCTCTACTGAAACCTGACTGACTGCGACACAACTGCTTAATAAATAACCAAATGATAATTACATTCAATGAAATGAAATAGTGATGGAAGAGACGTTTGACACGAGTTTAGATTGTTAGCATTTGTGTCTCCAAACGCACCGCACATCAACTGTGGCTGTCGTTGTGGATATGAATATGAAATATTAGACGCAGTCTTCCATCTGATGTGGTGTGTGTGTTTTGTAGGTTGTTTGAAGGGTCGTCCCCGAGCAAACAGCAGAAGCTCAAAACCCTTCTGTGGTACTTCCAGCGGATCACGCAGCAAAGTGAGTTTAGCTTTGAGTGTTCGACGCGCCGCTCGCTCACAGATCGCTGGCTAACTCCGTGTGTGTGTGTGTGTTTTGTTCCCGAGGGCCCACCGGTCTCATAACTTACACCAGACAGTGTCTGCAGCGTCCGCCCTCGTGGGCCAGGTGAGACTCATCTTCACACACTCTGAGCCGTTTCATCTCCCACAAGCCAGTAAATGCTCATGATGTGTTTTAGCTCAGAGAAGCAGTTCAGCAAACTTCACATCTGCTCTGAAGGAACCATAGAGGAGCAGGGCTACGGCATGCTGCAGGTGACACACACACACACACACACGCTTGACCACACGCCTCACCACACGAATATATATATAGTCTGTGTGTGTGTGTGTGTTTTCTGCAGGTGGACTTTGCCAACAGGTTTGTCGGGGGCGGAGTGACCGGTTCTGGTCTGGTTCAGGAGGAAATCCGTTTCCTGATAAACCCGGAGCTGATCGCTGCTCGCCTCTTCACTGAAGCGCTGGAGGACAACGAGTGTCTGATCATCACAGGTGAACAAACACAGAAGAACACGCTGAGATCCCTGTGGAGTGTAATCAGCACTCAAACCCGCTGAGACTCAATCAGTCTGTGTGTGTGTGTGTGTGTGTGTGTGTGTGTGTGATTGCTGTCTGTCCCTGATGGTGACGTTCTCCTAAAACCCTTCATTTCTGAAGTGCTCATGAAGGCCGTTCGTGTCTTCTGACATTAGTGTTCGCAATCATCAGGGTTTTATTTCGATGTCTTTCCCATTTACAGTTGTAAAGGGTTCCTCCTGTTCCGACTGAAGTGGAGCTGTGATGAACGATTCCAGGACAATTTGGCTTATATTTCAAAGTTTTTACTGTGCGTGATCTGACCCGTGTGCGTGAGTAAGCAGCGTCAGTGACCCGTGAGAGCGGCTCTGGTGTGTGTTCTCATGAGACGCGTTCGTCACTGCACTTTCTCTGGATCACTCAGATGGTGTAAGAAAGAAGTTTGCGTTGATGTTCCAGAATGCTGATGTCTACAAAAATCCTTCATTTCTTAAGTGCTCATAAAGGTTGCAGTGTGTGTGTGTGTGTGTGTGTGTGTGTGTCTCAATGTCCTCAGATGGTTCAGTCAGCTACACACACATCAGTGTAACTCATAACTCTTCGTCCGCTGCTCTTCATCACAGTCGCGTCCTGAAGGAGGGAACACTGGAAGGCGGGCGTTTGCACTAATGTAGCGCTGGAATCTTCAGCATAACACACACACACACACACACACACACACACGACAGACCTGTTTCGGCCTCCTCGTCGACTGTAGCAGAAGGACTCGTCGTCCTCTTCCTCTGATCAGTATTCTTACCTCAGCTGTCCGTCATCTCGTCTCCATGGAGTCACCTGTAGGCTCCGCCCTCCAGGCACCGCCCCCCGGTCATCTTGTTTCCATGGAGTCACCTTCAGGCCCCGCCCCCCCAGTCATCTCGTCTCCATGGAGTCACCTTCAGGCCCCGCCCCCCTCCCGCCACTTACAGCTCTTAACTTTATTACGGTCCTGCAGAATTAATCACGTCTCTAAGAGCCGACTGGAGTCGCTGGGCTAATGCTAATGCACCGGGCCGCGACATCTCCTCTATTACAGTGTCTCTCTCTCTCTCTCTCCCGCCCTCTATCTCTAAAATCATATTCCCCGCTCGGCTCTCAGACATCGATGGCTAAAATGGATCTTGTAGCTGTAAAGAAATTTGCCAAAGTGGCTTCGGTTAATTGAATTGCGGCTGATTGCGGAGCGTCTGCCCTGTCAGGCTTCAGTGAGAGATGGAGATCAGTGACTCACCGACGCAGAACACACACACACACACACACACGACAGGAACGTCCCAGTTGCTGATTTGAATCCTTTTAATCGCAGGCCGTCTCTGAATAAAGCTGGTGTTTGAGACAAAGGCCTGACATTAAACCTGAGACCATGATGATGAAGATGACGAAGATGATGATGCTCTCGCGGGACCGATGCTCAGTTTAGCCGATGTTCAGATGACCTTTAATCTGTCAGAGACTCCAGCATCGGTCACTGAAGACGCTTCAGAAACACACAAAGCCCAGACTCCTCTGAAGGTCACATGAGCAGGAATTCTTCCCAGCAGGAATGCGTTTATCTCATTTCCTCTCCAATAAAGACAATGAGCTTATCTGTGGTTCTGCGGTTCGGGTCGATGCCGGGCGGACCCGCCGCCGCTGCTGCCAGGAGTCTGTGATCCGATTAGACTCTCAGCTCCTCGACGTCAGGTGATCGACTGATATTATGCGTTAGGCTATACTGTAGGTATGTGCATCATAATATATTTCCGCGCAGGCGTGTGGTCATTCTAAGGTACAGATACTTGTCTGGCAGCATAATACAGAATTTTTAGTCATTTACATGCCGAATTGGAAAAGCGTCTACAGCCAGCAGTTGTGTTTGATATTCCAGGTCAGAGATTTCTGGAGGCCCCGCTCATTTCTCAAACGCACCTGATTCCGGTCGTCAGCTCATTAGTAGAGACTCCAAGACCTGAAGTGGGTGTGTCAGACCAAGGAGAGATTGAAAACGTGTAGTGTTGGGGCCTCCAGGAACGTGCTCGGGAACCACTGTTATAGGCATTATCAACTGGCCGGAGTTTGGAGATCGTAATAGACGTGAAGGACTATAAGCGTTAAGAGCTCGCTCTAGTACTGGAGATAAACCATTCAGTGCTTTAAAAGTAATCAGCAATATTTTAAAATGTATACAATGTTTAATAGGCAGCCAATGCAGGGTTGACAGAACCGGGCTAATAGGGTCATACTTCCTGGTTCTGGTAAGATCTGGAGCGGCTGCGTTTTGGACGAGCTGGAGTTTGTTTATTAAGTGTGCAGGACAACCACCCAGTAGAGCATTACACTCATCTAGCCTTGATGACATGAACACATCAACTAACTGTTCCGCATTTGTCATTGAGGACATGTCACAATTTAGAAAAGAGCACACACACACACACACACACACACACACAGGTTCCTAACCGACGACCAAGACTTGGCAGAGCAGCCGTCGAGTGTCAGACAGTATTGTAGGTTATGACGTGAGGAGGTTTTTGGTCCAATCATTAGAAATTCCTTTTTTTTTTTCAGAAATAAGTAGTAGGACATGTTTTATATCAGCTGTGCATTCAATTAAATTTTGTGAATGGGTAAGTTTTGTCGGGTGCGAAGAAATATAAAGCTGAGTATCATCAGCATAAGAGTGAAAGCTTATTCCATGTTTCCTAATGATAGTATCTCCTAATGGCAGCGTGTACAGAGTGAACAGCAGCGGTCCTAGTACTGAGCCTTGTGGGACGCCATACTGAACTCGTGATGGATAAGACATCTCTTCATTTACTGCTACAAACTGATAACGGTCAGATAAGTGCAATGTCAGGCACTTGTAACGTCCCTCCTGGCATGGTGCTGCTATTCTCTTTAGTAATATGGCAAATATTCAAACGTGACAATCTGGGGCTCAGGTCAGGAAGCAGACGGACTGGCTAAACCGACCGTCTGCCAGCGGCGTCTGAGGTCTTCCCCTAGATATCATCACATAGTTTCATGATGACAGACAGGAGACAGGAGAATAACTGGATATAAACAGGAGAATAACTGTCGGTGTTGTCAAGTTCATGTTGCTCTACATTCGCTATAGCCGTTATTCAGCTCAAGTGTGAATATGACTCTGTTGTATTAAACAGGAACAGAGCGGTTCAGCAGATACTCGGGATACTCGCACACCTACCGATGGGACGGTAACCATGACGACCAGACGCCAAGGTGATGCCGATGTGCGACTCGTCTGACTGCGAGTGTGTGTTCTCAGAGACGCTGATGTGTGTGTGTGTGTCCGCAGGGACGAGTGGCAGCGCAGGGTCACGGAGATCGTCGCCATTGACGCCCTGCGTTACAGGAACTTCCTGCAGCAGTTTCTCCCCGACAACATGACCAGAGAACTCAACAAGGTCAATCGCAAGATATCACTCATCATAATCCCGAAATATCCCACATCGTCTGTGCAATAAGAGAGAAAGCCCCTGATCATGTGGCGAGACTCGGTTCGCAGCTGTAAACTGGTCTGGTTTATTCCTGCATTATTAACGATGAGCCGCAGGGTTGCTGTTTCTGTGTTTGATGTGTCTCTTTAATCATCTGCTCTGGAAACTGTAATTGCCGTTTCCTTTCTGACCTAATTAATGATGAATTAATATTTGTATTGTTGTGGACAAACAGAGTAAATAAGCATTAATGATTGATTGATTGCAGATTGTAGAGCTGTTTGCATTGTCCATTAAATTTAAATGGTGAATGAATCTGTTGCAGAGACATTCAATATCACTGATCCAGGGGCAGATCATAAACCAGATCCTCACAGATATGAGTGTGGATACTGAAGGAGACTCAGCTGAGGGTCGGTCCGGCTCAGCGATGGTCCCTCATGATCTCTCTCTCTCTCTTTCTCTGTCCATCAGGCCTTCTGTGGTTTCGCTCGCCCTGGAGTCGAGTCGGAGAATCTGTCGGCCGTTGCGACGGGAAACTGGGGATGTGGAGCGTTTGGAGGAGACACTCGTCTCAAAGGTTCGACTGAAAGCAACAGCTATATGTTTCCATCCTCAACACCGCGTGTAACTCTCGCTTTACTGAAGAGCATCTGCCTCTCCTCTACTGATCCTCATACAGTTTCTCATAAACGGCTCTAACTCACATCTGACATCATCAGATCCGTTCCGAATTCAGATGAAGAGTGTGTGTGGGGATATTTGTTATTGCTATCGGCTGTTGTTCTCAACGTGTGTGTGTATCTGTCTGTGTGTGTGTGTATCTGTGTGTGTGTAGCTGTTCTGCAGATGATGGCGGCAGCAGAAGCGGAGCGTGATTTGATGTACTTCACGTTTGGTGACGTTGATCTGCGCCGAGATGTTAGCCGCATCCACACACACTTCACACACCGTCACGCCAGCGTAGGTGAGACACACCTGAGATCACGGCATTATCAGATGCTGGACATCATATTTGTGCAGGTTTTCATCAGTCATTTTCCTCCTCTGTTGTGCAGGATCCGTGTTCAACATGTTGCTGCAATACTATGAGCGTGTGATTAAGGAAACATCAGGAGCAAAACCTCAGGAAACACTTTACAGCTTCCTCTCTGAACACCTCTGACCCCCGACCCCCAGCATCTCTGAACTCTGACCCTAGCAGCTCTGACCTCTGAATGACCCCTGCAGCTCTGACCTCTGAATGACCCCAGTAGCTCTGACTCCTGCAGCTCTGACCTCTAAATGACCCCAGCAGCTCTGACCCCTGACTGACCCCAGTAGATCTGACCCCTGACTGACCCCAGCAGCTCTGAACTCTGACCTTAGTAGCTCTGACCCTGACTGACCCCAGCAGCTCTGACCCCTGAATGACCCCAGCAGCTCTGACCCCTGAATGACCCCAGCAGTTCTGACCTCTAAATGACCCCAGCAGCTCTGACCCCTGAATGACCCCAGCAGCTCTGACGTCTGAATGACCCAGCAGCTCTGACCCCAGCAGCTCTGACCCTGACTGACCCCAGCAGCTCTGACCCCTGACTGACCCCAGCAGCTCTGAACTCTGACCTTAGTAGCCCTGACCCTGACTGACCCCAGCAGCTCTGACCTCTAAATGACCCCAGCAGCTCTGACCCCTGAATGACCCCAGCAGTTCTGACCTCTAAATGACCCCAGCAGCTCTGACCCCTGAATGACCCCAGCAGCTCTGACGTCTGAATGACCCCAGCAGCTCTGACCCCAGCAGCTCTGACCCCTGACTGACCCCAGCAGCTCTGACCCCTGACTGACCCCAGCAGCTCTGACCCCAGACTGACCCGAGTAGATCTGACCCCTGACTGACCCCAGCAGCTCTGACCCCTGACTGACCCCAGCAGCTCTGACCCCTGACTGACCCCAGCAGCTCTGACATGTTTTGTGTACCTCTGACGTCACTGATCCTCAATAAAGCTGTTCTAATAGTGTGTCAGCTGTGTGTTGTGCTTCTGCGTGTGCGGGTCCAGAGATGAAAGCCGCCGGACCCGCTGGGTTTGATCGACTGAGCCGCTCGCTGGCAGAACCCAGGCTTTGTAGCGCACAGATTTCAAACGCGCATCTGCTCTCGGTGTGTGTCCCTGAATGAGTTTGACCTTTGAAGCTCACACAGTCAGTATGAATGTCAAACACGCCAGAAGCTCAACCAGTCTCACAGACGGATTAAACCGTTACCAATTCAGTCCTTCTTGCTCTTACTAAGAGGACTACTCTAAAATAGAAAATCATACGTCTGATAAAACTCAAGATTTAACACTGACATCTCAATCTTTCTACGGCGTATGAATCAGATCTTTTGCAGTAAATCCCACAGTGAAGCTTTGACCCTTGCTAAAGGATCCTGCAGTTTCTCCAGCGGAGCTCCAATCAGCTCCTGTTCACAGAAGAGGATTGACACCAGAAGAGGAGTGACACTGTATTCACAGAAGAGGAGTGACACCAGAAGAGGAGTGACACCAGAAGAGGAGTGATACTGTATTCTCAGAAGAGGAGTGACACCAGAAGAGGAGCGACACCAGAAGAGCAGTGACACAGAAGAGGAGTGATACTGTATTCTCAGAAGAGGAGTGACACCAGAAGAGGAGCGACACCAGAAGAGCAGTGACACAGAAGAGGAGTTACACAAGAAGAGGAGTGACACCAGAAGAGGAGTGACACCAGAAGAGGAGTGACACCAGAAGAGGAGCGACACCAGAAGAGCAGTGACACAGAAGAGGAGTTACACAAGAAGAGGAGTGACACCAGAAGAGGAGTGACACCAGAAGAGGAGTGACACCAGAAGAGGAGTGATACTGTATTCTCAGAAGAGGAGTGACACCAGAAGAGGAGCGACACCAGAAGAGCAGTGACACAGAAGAGGAGTTACACAAGAAGAGGAGTGACACCAGAAGAGGAGTGACACCAGAAGAGAGTGATACTGTATTCTCAGAAGAGGAGTGACACCAGAAGAGGAGCGACACCAGAAGAGCAGTGACACAGAAGAGGAGTTACACAAGAAGAGGAGTGACACCAGAAGAGGAGTGACACCAGAAGAGGAGTGATACTGTATTCTCAGAAGAGGAGTGACACCAGAAGAGGAGCGACACCAGAAGAGCAGTGACACAGAAGAGGAGTTACACAAGAAGAGGAGTGACACCAGAAGAGGAGTGACACCAGAAGAGGAGTGATACTGTATTCTCAGAAGAGGAGTGACACCAGAAGAGGAGTGACACCAGAAGAGCAGTGACACAGAAGAGGAGTTACACCAGAAGAGGAGTGACACCAGAAGAGGAGTGACACCAGAAGAGGAGTGACACCAGAAGAGGAGTGACACCAGAAGAGGAGTGACACCAGAAGAGGAGTGATACTGTATTCACAGAAGAGGAGTGACACCAGAAGAGGAGTGACACCAGAAGAGGAGTGACACTAGAAGAGGAGTGACACCAGAAGAGGAGTGACACCAGAAGAGGAGTGACACCAGAAGAGGAGTGACACCAGAAGAGGAGTGACACCAGAAGAGGAGTGACACCAGAAGAGGAGTGACACCAGAAGAGGAGTGACACCAGAAGAGGAGTGACACCAGAAGAGGAGTGACACCAGAAGAGGAGTGACACCAGAAGAGCAGTGACACAGAAGAGGAGTGACACCAGAAGAGGAGTGACACCAGAAGAGGAGTGACACCAGAAGAGGAGTGACACCAGAAGAGGAGTGACACCAGAAGAGGAGTGATACTGTATTCACAGAAGAGGAGTGACACCAGAAGAGGAGTGACACCAGAAGAGGAGTGACACTAGAAGAGGAGTGACACCAGAAGAGGAGTGACACCAGAAGAGGAGTGACACCAGAAGAGGAGTGACACCAGAAGAGGAGTGACACCAGAAGAGGAGTGACACCAGAAGAGGAGTGACACCAGAAGAGGAGTGACACCAGAAGAGGGTGACACCACAAGAGGAGTGACACCAGAAGAGGAGTGACACCAGAAGAGGAGTGACACCAGAAGAGGAGTGACACCAGAAGAGGAGTGACACCAGAAGAGGAGTGACACTAGAAGAGGAGTGACACCAGAAGAGGAGTGACACCAGAAGAGGAGTGACACCAGAAGAGGAGTGACACCAGAAGAGGAGTGACACCAGAAGAGGAGTGACACCAGAAGAGGAGTGACACAGAAGAGGAGTGACACCAGAAGAGGAGTGACACAGAAGAGGAGTGACACCAGAAGAGGAGTGACACCAGAAGAGGAGTGACACTAGAAGGGGAGTGACACCACAAGAGGAGTGACACTAGAAGAGGAGTGACACCAGAAGAGGAGTGACACCAGAAGAGGAGTGACACCAGAAGAGGAGTGACACCAGAAGAGGAGTGATACTGTATTCACAGAAGAGGAGCGACACCAGAAGAGGAGTGACACCAGAAGAGGAGTGACACCAGAAGAGGAGTGACACCAGAAGAGGAGTGACACCAGAAGAGGAGTGACACTGATTCACAGAAGAGGAGCGACACCAGAAGAGGAGTGACACTGTATTCACAGAAGAGGAGCGACACCAGAAGAGGAGTGACACTGTATTCACAGAAGAGGAGTGACACTGTATTCACAGAGAGGAGTGACACCAGAAGAGGAGTGACACTGTATTCACAGAAGAGGAGCGACACCAGAAGAGGAGTGACACCAGAAGAGGAGTGACACTGTATTCACAGAAGAGGAGTGACACCAGAAGAGGAGTGACCCAGAAGAGGAGTGACACCAGAAGAGGAGTGAAACCAGAAGAGGAGTGACACCAGAAAAGGAGTGACGCCAGAAGAGGAGTGACGCCAGAAGAGGAGTGACACCAGAAGAGGAGTGAAACCAGAAGAGGAGTGACACCAGAAGAGGAGTGACACCAGAAGAGGAGTGACACTGTATTCACAGAAGAGGAGCGACACCAGAAGAGGAGTGACGCCAGAAGAGGAGTGAAACCAGAAGAGGAGTGACACTGTATTCACAGAAGAGGAGTGACACCAGAAGAGGAGTGACACCAGAAGAGGAGCGACACCAGAAGAGGAGCGACATCAGAAGAGGAGTGACCCCAGAAGAGGAGTGACGCCAGAAGAGGAGTGACACTGTATTCTCAGAAGAGGAGCGACACCAGAAGAGGAGTGACATCAGAAGAGGAGTGACACCAGAAGAGGAGTGACACCAGAAGAGGAGTGACATTCTCAGAAGAGGAGTGACACCAGAAGAGGAGTGAGACTGTTTCTCAGAAGAGGAGTGACACCAGAAGAGGAGTGACACCAGAAGAGGAGTGAGACTGTATTCTCAGAAGAGGAGTGACACCAGAAGAGGAGTGAGACTGTATTCTCAGAAGAGGAGTGTGACTTTATTCACCTTCTGTGTGTTTGTGGTTGTTTGTGGTTGTTTGTGGTTGTCTCTGGTTTCCATCATCTGTCAGCAGCGTCTCCGGAGAGGAACACATGCTCGAGTTTCTCTGGCTCCGAGTTCAAAGCCTCCACAGCAGCTGTCTGTGTATTTCGTGGGGTTTTGGTCCTTGATCATGTTAAAGAGGAGTTTGATTAAATCTACACACATCTGCTGGGGAAATGTGAAAACGACACACAGTTCTTGTGAGGTAGTGAGTGTAACAGCGGTGAAAAAGGCATTGTGGGTAATAGAGAAGTGTTTCCAGCACCCCCAAACCAGCTGTCAGTCTGGCAGAGACGAGGCCTCACGGCGCAGCTCGATGACAGGTGCCCAGGGCCTCACGGTGCAGCTCCGCACTCAGGCCCTGTCTGTCAGCAGGAGCTCCAGGGGCTCGTCAGAGAGCTGTCACACACTGGACCCGCTCCTCGCTTTAGGACTCGATCCTGTACAATATCTGCAGACAAACAGCTTTCATCCATCAAGTGACGTGACACAAACATAGCTTAATGCTCAACGCTCGACTATATGCATGGAGCCAGCGTACTTCACTGAATCCCAAAGAGATGACAGTCATGTGATACGGTGTTGAAGTCACGGCCACATGCGAATACATGTTCTCTCACGGCACTTACTTTCTGTGTTTTCAGACGAGCGTCTCTGCTCTTGACAACAAGTGACTGACATCAAGCCTTCGAGTGCCACGAATTATTGTGCATCGTTTAGTGATTCCTCTCTCATAACTTTACAAATAATCATGTTTTTCTTCTTATTGTGAAGGCCTCGGGGCAACATGCATTCATTTCCTTTCATCAGACACATGGAGAGAGGGATGTTCGAATGGATCGGAGAGACTCTGGGAATTCTGTTTCCTGAAGGGCAGAAACACCCCATTTCATTTCTTCATTTTGCATTAATTCAGTTTCTGCTGCATTTGAAGTGCAAATGTGAGTCTGAGCGCAAGACTGTCTTCAGGTCAAACAGCTGAAAATAGACACAGATCTGTTTCAGTAGATTCTTTAAAGGGAAAACAATAACTCCATTTTATCTGATAAATTTCCCAGCAGGACGACTCTTGTGATTTCACTTGATCAGGACATGTACATTTTTTACATTTAATCATTTAGCGGACGCTTTTATCCAAAGCGATTTACAAATGAGGAGAGCAATAAAGCAGTGACCGCTCAGTCCAGGCTAACGCAGGACACCTCCGAGATGTTCGTTCAGTGTCTGAGACTCAACACGTGACGCCTGTGAGGTCGTGACCTCTACGGGCTCAGATCGGCTGTGAAGATGTTAACCGCACAAAACTGCTGCGATTCCTCGAGTCGAGCACGCTAGTCAAACCTGCGAGTCGGTCCAGAACAGAGAGAGGCTTTCCTCTGAGATCTGAAGCATTATCTGAGGGAATCTGGTGCAGATTCAGATCATTCACACACAGATCGAGTGAACCTGTGATGTGTGTAATGTCCTCTTTAGTTTGCTGTGCAGAGACGATCTGTGATTTTCTTAACGTTGAGATCCGTAATAATCGCTCGTCAGCCGTCAGATACTCGAATACTGTCGTCCAGTTAGTTGTTGTGGTCAGCGAGTGTGCCGGGAATATTCCTGCTCATGTTCAACATCTGCAGGCGAGACTCGTCATCCATCAGGCCGACACCAAACCTGTCCTGGATCAAACTAAATTGCTTATTGATCTAAAAATCAGCAGATATCCTGGTTTGGCCTCCAGTCCGTGTCTGTCGTCTGCAGATCTCCGGTGTGGGAACCGTGAGCCGAGCTGGACGAGGTGTGAGCTCTCCTGACGGGGAATCGAGTGTATTATTGCTCCAGTGCCGTGGATATAAAGACGACTGAAGATATAAAGCGCTCGCCCTCGGCGGCCTCACAGGTTAGGTTTTTAAAGTTTGTGATTAGAGAATTTAAGAGTTTTCTGTTAGAGCGGCGTCGTGTTATAAAGCGGCCCCTAAATTAATAACTAATGATCTTTACAACGGAAGTGAATCAATATTGTAGATCTGCTGTAAAGCCTAAACTCTGTGACTGTAATCTCCTGTTATCTCTATAAGGCTGCTGTGGAACATCTGTGTTGGTAAGAGCTCTATATAGATGAAGATGACTCGACTTAAAATCATATGAAGATGCTGAATGAAACACAGCTGACCTTTGACCCCATAGCCTTGAACAGAAGCTGCTCAACAGTGATTTCATGCGTCAGATTTCCCCGTGACGGACGGCACATGATCACGTCCGTCAACATTATCAGAAGAGTCACGGCTCTCGCTGCTCGTCTTCCTCTTCGAGATGAAGGTCCGGGTTTGAGGACATCTGCTCTCCTCCATCATCTCTCCTTTCTGTCCGATCGCTTCATTTCCGGAGAGGAGAGCCGTTCCCGCGGCTCCATAGATGTGAGTAAACGACGTTCAGCCGGTTCTGCCACTTTAACTAAAGTTTGCTTCATTATGGAGAACGGAGAGTCCTCCTCGACTGCCATGTTTTCAGGATCATTAGCCAACGAGTCTCTCTTCCTCGGCCAATTAGGCTCTTAAACCCGTGTGCGAGAGGAAGACGAGGACTGACATCTTCCTCAGAAATGCCACTTCGCTCATTATGAGAAGCACTTTATAATAAAAACATTTTTCTGCTCTGCTTTAATTGAAAGATTTTAAGAACGAGGGAACAATGCTGTCGCATTCACAATCATTTTATCTTTATAAATGTCAGGAGCTGAATATGATTCCCGAGAGGATCGTTTCACTCCTAAAGATAAAGCCAGTTATCGATGAAGAACCTTTCACATCCGCCCATTCTTTATGGTGGAAAAATGTTCTTTATATTATTATAATATTCCTAAGAATACACTAAGAATTAAATTGGTTCTTTTCATTTTCATCTTTTAACTGATCGCTGAAAGCTACTTTGGGAACCAGGAATGGGTCATCGCTGTGAAAACCGCTTTCTGATTTTTTTTAAAGATTGTACTTGTGGAAAATATGTGTGTGTGTGTGAGAGAGAGAGAGAGAGAGTGTGTGTGAGAGAGAGAGAGTGTTAGTGTGTGAGAGAGAGAGAGAGAGAGATGTGTGAGTGTGTGTGTGTGTGAGTGGTGAGTGTGTGTGTGTGTGTGTGTGTGTGAGTGTGAGTGTGTGTGTGTGTGTGTGTGTGAGTGTGTGAGTGTGTGTTTCAGCTGATGTTCTAGAAGTTTCTCTCTGAAAGTGAGCACCAGTTATTGTCTCGTGGCACTTTAGACCTTTATCAGTTATATAATAAAATCCGGTTTATTGATTTAAGTTAATTTTTGGATTTATTAATATCTCATACGACAGACCAACACATTCTCATCCCAAGACGTCAACATCTGACGCTTTAGGGCACCCTTTAACATCAGGTAGATGACGCGGGTAGGTTTAGGTCTGGGGTAGGGTAAGGGTTAGGGTTGGGTTGGGTTAGGGTTGGGTTAGGGTTAGACCACTAGGAGAGCGTCATCTAACTGACACTATAAAGGGTGCCCTAAAGCGTCGGATGTTGACGTCTGGTCAGTTAGATGAGAACGGGCTGGACTGACAGCTCTGAATCTGCATCAGTTATTAACACACAATAATACAGTCACATTCAGCGGGGAACATTATACATGAGGACAATGCATTGAACTTACAAAAGTACATTTTTCTGCGCACTGACTCTTTATTCAGTCTCCATCAGACATCAACACACACCGTAAACTACAAACAAGATGAACAAGAACCAGGACAGTATTTACAGCAACAGATACATGTAAGTCAGAAGTTCACATTGATGAGGATTATTAATGCATATATCTCTCATATTATATGTCTCTAGTGCAAATATACTTAATCTATCTCACAGCATTTAACATTGAACATTTACTGAATTTATTGCACAAATATATATATATATATTACATAGACACAAAATACATAGTACATCCACACACTGTAATACACACACTGGATCTTCTTTATATTCATATGCAGTTATCTGAGATTATGTATGTTAAGTTCTTTTAATGCATCATTTCTCGCAGCAGCCATCATGAAGGATATTTTACAGATATTATTTGTGTGTGTGTGTGTGTGTGTGTCTGTGTTTGATTAGTCGTAGTGATATTAGCAGCATTAAAGTGTTCTTTTAGAGACTACCAACTAACATGTAAACTTATACGTTCTTTAGTTTTTAACTATTTTAAAAGCTATGTAAATATCAAGATGCTAATATGATGGATGGATGACATTAGTTTTATTTGTGGCTTCGGTCAGAGACACTGATTGATTCAGAAAGTAGTGTGAACATTCTGTCGGTGTTATTGCACTTTTAACATATTAATAAAATGGAAATATAATCTAAGTACTGTTTTAAATAGAATATTTTTTACAGCAATAATGTAGAGTACTGGTTAATAGCTGTTTTATTATAGCATAATAAATATAATATATTAAAATCTAATGTCCACAGACAGTAATTCCTTTAAAATATTTTTTTATCAGCGTTTCCTCCAATCACACTAAACATTGTGTCTGGTTAAGAACTAAAGTTAAACCTAAACTTAAAGCTTTATCTAACCTGAATGTGAAAAATGACATGTCTGTGAAGTGATCTGTTCTTCACGTTACAGTCATCGAGCGAAGGTCTGTTGTGTGTCAGTGTGGATCTGCCGCTGTAGTTCTTCACTGTGGTCTCGGACGGCCTGCCGCTGTAGTCTGCGGTCCGCACAGGAGCATCATGTCCCTCAGCCCGGCGTCCAGCTCCCGAACCAACAGCCCTGAGCATGTTTCTGAGCTCTCCCTGGAACTGGACACACAGAACAGCACGCGGTCGGCCTGCGGGTTGTAGCACACGCCGTAACCGTCGGCAACCACTGGACCGTAGCAACAAAACATCTCCTCTGTCGTAGGGACCTGAAAGGACAAACATCACACACACACATATATGTATATATACACATTTTGTTATGTTTGTTTTTCCACATTTTGTTATGTTAAAACCTTCCAAAATAGAGTAAATTAATTATTTTCCACAAAATTCTACAAACAATACCGTGAAAGAAGTTCGTGCTGGAAGTTGTTGTGCTTATAGTGTTCTTCTCCTACCTGACTGGTGGACAGGATGAAATGGTTACTGATGTGGTACGTTTCATCAGAGAAAATGTCTGGCGTCTCCATTTTCATCTCTTTGGCCATTTCTCGTAGTCCTAGTAAGTGATTGTCCATCCCCATCCCTGCGACGACCTGCGGGCCAGCAAACGCCACTTACGGCATCACAGCACACTTCACTTTTATATTTACATCAAAATATCAGAGTAACTCACCAGAGCTGTGATCTGTGTCTGCGCTTCTACAGCCGCTCGCAGTTTCTCCATCTTCTCGCTGTCCTGGAATGAAAGTCTGAGTTTAATCCCAGATATTGTTGTGTTTATGGCAGATAGTAAAGCAAGTAAATGTGTGTGACCTGAGTGGACGCTCTGCCGTCTGTCATCGCCTTGGCGAACGCCAGTGCCTCGGGAGTCGCCGAGCGGATGTTGTCCACGCGTCCCTTGCGGAAGCGGCGGAGGGAAGCGCTCTCGTAGGTGGAGACGGGTCTTCTGTGAGATCTGCACACACACACACACACACACACGACGAGACGAGGTCGTGACAGTCCAGCAGAGAGTGGCGAACAGGAGTGTGTGTACCTGTAGAAGGCCAGCTGTAGAGCCAGCTGAATGTAGGCGTCGGGACTCATCTTCTGCCGCTTGATCCACTCCTTCCCGTGAGCAGTGAAAGTGAAAACACTCATGTCCAGATCCATCACCAGCCTACAGGAGGAATGAAGAACCAGTTCTGTGATGGTCTCCTTCTACAGGTGTGTGTGTGTGTGTATGTGTGTGTGTGTGTTCCTCACCTCTGCAGGTGGTCAGCGGCGGAGGCCAGCGCACTCCGGATCCCAGACGAACATTTCCACAGTAATCTGCGCGGATGAGGAAGTTCAGACACACTCCGACCGGAGACCGGCTTACAGGAGCTGCTCCGTCTGCAGAGTTCATTCATAACCTTTCATTGGTAAGTTGTTCATTTAAGGTTATTGTTGCATCACCTGGCTGAAACGTGTCTTAAACATAATTAATAAATATAGCTTAGAGAAGAAATCAAAAGAGAATCTTCTCATCTTCCTCCTTGAGCTCCAGACAGACGTTGAGTTAGTGTTGAGGACGTACATGTGTTTGAGGACGTGTTCAGTGCACTCCACCAGAACGATGCCCTCGAGCGGCGAGTGCTCACACACCACCCCACACACACCATCGGCACCAATCACGAACTGAAACAAAACACACACACACTTCCATTTCATCTCAATGCTTCCATTTCTCAGTTCATGCAGCTTTTGCAGAAGAATCTCCCGGCACACGGACACGGACTGACCAGGGCTGTCTCGCGTGTGTAATAATGCAGATGAAGACATGAAACTGCTTGGGTTGCTGAATATTCGATCCCTTTCTTCAGAAGTGCTTATTGATGTGCTGTGTATGACAGAAGCCTGGCTAAAACCAAACGATTACGTTACTTTAAATGAGTCCACCCCCAAGATCACTGCTGTAAGCATGAACCCCGTCTGAGAGGCCAAGAGGAAGGTGTTGCTGTTTTAATATCCATGTAGATCAGGATAAATGGGCATTTAAAGACAATCTGAACTCTATTGGAGTTAGACAACACGTGTCAGGACCTCTAGGTTTAATATTATCACATGGGATAGATGCTGAGTCTGCAGCAGAGCGATGACATCTCAGATCATTATCTAATCTTATGCATACTTAATTTAGCCAAGGTTGCAAAGTCGACTCTGAGTTATAAATATATCCCTTCTGCCACTAAAGATCACTTTATCAATAATCTTCCTGATCAGTTTGTCCTCGCCAGCATCCCGGATCGCTTAAAAGAACCCGATCGTGACAGAAATGACTCTCTTGTCCAGCACTTTAGCCACAGTGGCTCCGTTTCGCTTAAGAAGATCAGAGGAAACAGAGGAAGGCTGTGGTACACCGAGCTCACGCATCCCACACTCGAGCTGCTCTGTCGAGTCTCTCTATATAAAGGTGACTTCCCTTCCCCGATAGACTAGTCCTCTCTGTGGTCGTCGTACCTGCAGGGGTTTGTCGTACCAGCGGTTGGCCCCGTTCTTCTCCTGTCCTCCGCCGTGCAGCATCAGTGACGCTCTGTTGGCGTCGCTGGGATCGAGTCCCGCCGGATCATCCAGGCACACGACACACATGCAGCTCTCCATCAGCTCCACGGACTCTCGGCTCACTGGATCTGTGTGGCAGATTTTACACAAATTGAAATGCTGTCTGATCATGGCAAACTGGATTTCACCTTCTAGTTAGCTGTGAACTTTGGCAAAAGCACTGAAAGCAGCCTGAGAGTTTACTGTGTTCCTAGCCGTGTTTCCACCGTCGGGCCGGTGCTGGCGGGCTTTAAACGGGTCTGGAGCGCCGAGTCCAAAACCTGCCGCGTTTCCACCGTCGGGCCTGAAGCTCTAAAACACACCCGTAACGCCTCTCTGAACAACCACACACACACACATCGCCCACTAATGTATGTTTTATCAGAAACTAATCAGAAAGAAATCACTGAAACTAGCGAGATCGCAAAACAAACGTGATGAAAGCAACCTTTTACTGGCATTTTTGTTGTTTAATTGAGATTTAAAACCCGAGCATCGATGTTTTACCACAGGCATATTATTGGCACTGATTATAATGAATTAATTTGTGTCAAGATTGGACATTAGTCACACAGAAATAAAGTAGTTTGATAAAATAAAGAGGACACACTACCTACTTACGGAGTCGCGTCTGTTTCACAGCTTCAGGACGTGTATTTACATCACATTTAGAAAGAATGATCATTTCTACCAATATGCCTCCAAAAATATGACCTGATGAGCTTTAGCACTATCTCCCAAACAATACAGCTGCAGTCAGAGAAACAGAGGACGCTCTCGAGAAAAACTTATTTTATGACACATGCCGAGCTAAATATGATCTGACAGTCTGTAAAAACATGATTGTGATGGTCTAATGATTTGTCTGATTTCGTCAAGCGGTCATATTCACCATGTTTATATGGTAATGGTTAGCACGCAGTCTTTTGCATCGCCGTATAAATATTTCTGCCTTATACAGTGATCAGAACCCACAAACAGAATGGACTCAAACATGAAAGTGAGTTGAGATGATTTTAAAAGTCTTTAATGCTGATGTTAGCTGGTATGGGATCATCCGGCGCTACCGACTCGGGATAACTCCTCTGTCCGTAACTCGAGCCCGATCCGGCCGCTTTGGACCAAGGGATGGTTGGCCCTGAGGAGGCCCGCTCGAGGCCCGGGTGACGGTGGAAGCGCGGCTGGCTCGCACTCGCAGCCCGACAGTGGAAACGGCTCATGCGGTGTTGTGTTGGACCTTTGAGCAGCTGTTCTCTGGCTGAAGCCCAATCCGCTCGTCCGTCAGCGGTCAGCAGTCCCACGGCCGGCTGCGTCTGCGTCTGCGTCTGCGTCTGCTCGTAGATCCACTGCAGCTGAGCCTGAACATCAGCCTCGTTCAGCCGACAGGATCCTTCAGTCAGGTTCAGCACGAAGAACTGAGAACATGAAGGAGACACGGGTTCATCCTGACGCGGGTCCACATGTGCTAATTAAAGGACAGTTAGCGTTGTGTTTTATTGGATGTCATGTGACCTAACCAGCACAGTGTTCTTGTTTGTTCAGTGAAACGGCTGGTCTAGTGCAGTCGTGATCTCAGCGTGACGGACACACACAGCGGCTCCACTGCTCTGATTGGGTTATTGAGTTTTCCTTAGGGACTCATTTCCAGGTAAACGACCGCTCGCTCGCCCAGCTGGACGTCTGCAGAGAGGGAGTCGCTGAAGAGTGTGTGTCGATGGACTGCTGAAGAGTGTGTGTCGATGGACTGCTGAAGAGTGTGTGTCGATGGACTGCTGAAGAGTGTGTGTCGATGGACTGCTGAAGAGTGTGTGTCGATGGACTGCTGAAGAGTGTGTGTCGATGGACTGCTGAAGAGTGTGTGTCGATGGACTGCTGAAGAGTGTGTGTCGATGGACTGCTGCTGGTTTGGGTCGGACTGTGATTAACTGGATCAGATGAAGGCGACTGATGTCCTTCAGAGATTCTGGCAGAATCAGGACCAGCTATGGCCTTTTCTTGACTGTCATCTCAGCAAACAAACACAGGCGTAACACGACAAACACACACACACACACACACACACCTGACTCCTGCAGGCCACGATGACGTGCGCGCCGTCTGCTGTGACGAGTGTGTCGCGCTGGAGTCCGGCCCGTCTGGAGGAGCTGAAGAGACGCTGGTACTGATCCATGCAGAGATGACCATCCAGCTGAGCCTTCCTGCAACACACACACACACACACTCGTCATGCACTGCTGACACACACACTCGTCATGCACTGCTGAAGTCAGGGAAGAGTTACCCGTCCACCAGAGTCTTGTACTGAGAAACACCCAGAATGAGGCGAGCAGCAAATCTGCACAAACACAAGAGACGAGCATCAGAGTCACATCTGTGTGTGTGTGTGTGTGTGTGTGTGTGTGTGTCTACATCTGATCCAAACAGACACATCGAATCCCTCAATCCTAATGTGTGTGTGCTGTTTACTGACGTGAGAGAGTCTCTATAGTGTCTGAATGGTTGTTTGGGGAAGACGAGCGCCGGACTGGAGTTCACAGGCAGAGCGAGTCGGTTCTTCAGATACATGTCGTCCAGCCACACGTCGTACACCTGAGACACACACACACACACACATGAGTGCTGATGAACCTGAAGACAGACTCAATCAAACATCATTTTTAATAAAGTGCTGTTATTGATCACGAGCTGCTAATCTGGCGATCCATATTCCCAGAGCAGCTACTGGTGATCCTTCAGTTTTAATGGGAATATAATAATAAATGTGTGTGTTTTGTGAGTGAATGAGTGATAGATTATTGTGGTGTCGTGCTTTGATGTGTGTGTGTGTGTGTGTGTGTACCCAGTTCTCAGTGTTTTCCCTCTTCTCCCTCAGCTGTTCCTGCAGTGTCTCTCCGACTCCTCCCGCTCTCCCGAACGCCTCCACCGCGGCTCTGGTCTTCCCGAACTGTGTGTCGGACACCAGGTGTTTCACGGACCGCAGGTACGAGTCCAGCGAGAGCTTCAGATCCGGGACCGGCAGTTTCGGCAGCTCCTGCAGAAGAGCAGATATCACAGGAGAGCAGCAGTGCAGAAATGGTGGGTCTTTAAGTGTTCATTTGTGGCAGAGATGTGTGTCGCTTGTGTAAAAAAAAGTCGAATCTAACTTAATAATTTTTTAAATAATTAACCCAAAACCAAAACCAGTGTTTTGGTTTTGTCCCCTATATTGTCTGTTCAGAAACAGCATTTTTCTTTTTAAATTGTATTTACATTTATGAATGATAGCATTTGAGATTTTCTTTCTTTATAGTTACCTGCTTAAAAATTGTAGAAAATGTACATTTTAAAATCATTTGTACATTCATCCTGTCAGAAATATCTATCTATCTATCTATCTATCTATCTATCTATCTATCTATCTATCTATCTATCTATCTATCTATCTATCTATCTATCTATCTATCTATCTATCTATCTATCTATCTATCTCTTTAAAGTTCAAACTACTATAAACTTAAAGCTTTTGAAACTTCCTCAGTTTTCTTCAAACTCTGGTCCGGCTTTCTCAAACCAACTTTAAATCTGTCTCAACGAACTTTTCAACAGTTGAGTCTAATGAGCTTCTGCACTGTAAATTTTAATTTGGACAGTTTAGTTTGACCAGTCTTGGCTCATTTGATCATGCAATGGAAGTCAATGGGATTTTCCTGAGTTTTAGTCGTGATTTTTGGGAAAACCGTAAATCAGTTAGAATAGATATCTGAAGTCTGGGGTCTGAGCCGAGTTAGGAGTTAGAGTCAGACATTTTAATCTCAGAAAAATGAATAATAATAAGTTTAAATGGCATTTCAGTCATTTGGTTCTCTCAAGACAACTGAATAATAACCCCGAGTTAACATAACCCCGCATAACAGATGTTTGATTCCTGTCAATCACCACGAAACACGGTGACATCATCATTACATTTGAGCTATAAATGGAAAATGGCCACATTCTCTAAAATATAATATTTAGACACATTTCTATTACAGATTGCAACGACCGGTTGTTTAGTGTGATGGATGGACCTGAACGCTTTCATAAAGTTCACCAGAAGTGGGAATCATTAGTGTTTTGTTCAATTTCATTTTAATTTAGTTTAATTGATTGAGGGAAGTGGTGTAGGAGAATATGACAATATGAAAATTGAGACAAATGTTTCTCGCTCTTTTATAGTCGCTATAAGAGGGACGATCTGTCGTTGATGATGATGATGATGAAGATGAATATGAAGATGAATATGATGATAAAACACTGACGCGCGTGACAGAAAACATGCACAACTTACATACATGAACTGGCAGCAGGTGTGCAGTGACAGACGCGCAGAAGTACTGTAGGAAAACTATGCCACTAATACAAGATTTCAAATACAAACCCTTCCTTTATAAACTATTTTACAGAAGTTCTAGAGAGTATAGAGATCCGCTCACCTCCATCAGTGTGTGTCGCTCCAGCAGCTGCAAGTGTGTTTCAGCGGGCGCGCGGACATGGTCAGTGTGTGTGTGTGTGTGTGTCCGCGACTCCGCCCACCCGTTCCCGACACACACACACACACACACTGATGCTCCTCCAGCTGTTTACAGAGGTGCTGCTGCTCTTTCATCCCTTCCGACAATTTATGTTTTATTCGACACATTTTTGATGCTGTCTGCTATATTTTCTGATTTTGTTTATGCAATCAAAGTAAATGCTGATTATTAAACAGTTTGTTTTTATCATGTTAGATGATGGACGGTGCATCTATTTGTATTTTTCGTCATTGAAAATATGGGGGTGGGGGGATATTTTTATTTTAACTTGTTACTATTAAAATTGACTTTAAATTAAAATATTTTATTTTATTTGTAATTTAATTGAATTAAATATAGGAAATTCAATTCAATGAAATGAAAACCACACAAATTCAAACAAACTCAAATCCCTCGACCGTCGTTAAAATATATTATTTTACAAGAATCTTTTTGAAGAACTTTTTAATTAAAATTAAAATTTAAAGATCCTAAAAAAAAACATTTAAAAGCTGATTCATGTCATAGTTATTGATTCAGTCAATAAAAAGGCATGTGTAGGGAAATATGAGCACTCTTTTATTCGGGTTTTGTGCAGTTACATCAACATCTTCTACACACTACAGAGACACTGGCGTTTAGAGACAACCCTTTATATCATAAAAGACGAGGAAAGCAGAAACACTTCTGTCAGATAAATAACTCAATATTGCGCGCCAGACACATCATATGCACGCAAAACTAATTGTCGCGTATTATAAATTACACGATAAACACAATGCGTGCTATAGATGCGCATTTCACGAGATCAGGATGGTTCAGTTGAGAGTTTAGTGTGTGTGTGTGTGTGTGTGTGTGTGTGTGTGTGTGTGTGTGTGTGTGTGTGAGCTTCGTTAAGTAAACTCGGGTCCGGATGATTCCTCCGAGCAGGATTTGGAGCGCGCGAAGAGCCCGTTCTCGTCCACGGGAAGCGCGTTGGTCGCCGTGACGCACAGGCCCTTCCGCGCGCGTCGGCGCTCCTCCAGTCGGATGGTGTGGTACAGGCCCGCGGGCGCGTCCTCTAGCAGCGCGTCGCTCTCGGAGCGCGACGGCCTCATCTGGCACACGGAGCGCAGCATCAGCAACGCGGGCGCGTACAGCACGTTCACCAGACCCATGCCCAGGTTCAGCTGCACGAAGCCCAGGTGGTGCACGATCTGCCCCGCGACCACAGGCCCGAGCGCGTACGCGACGCAGTAGGAGATGTCCGCGATGGCGTACACGCTCCCGTACACGGACACGTGACGCACGTCCACCAGGAACGCGAGCGTCGGCAGGAGCGCCGTGTCCACCAGCGCGATGCCGAAGCAGATTCCGCAAAGCGGGACCATCAGCTGGCCGAAGCTCCTGCATGCGGGGACAGTGCACGAGCTGGCCCCTATAATCACCATCCCGAGGGCCCCGTAGAACCACTGCAGGTCCGGGAACTTCGCGGCTAACCGGACAGTGACGTACACGCCCAGCACGTGCGGCAGGAACGCGGGCAGCCAGACGAGCCCCATCTCCCACTCACTGGCGTTCATCGTGCTCTCCATCCAGCGGGAGATGGTGGGCTCCAGGAACGCCAGCGGGATGTTGCACACGGTCAGCGCGCCCGCCACCACGGCGATGTACGGGTCAATCATGAGCCGGTGGATGGGCGTCCCGACCGGCATGTTCTCGCGCGTCCTGTCAGAGAAAGGTTTGATCACGGTCAAGACCAGAACGCTGTCCGCCAAGCACACGGAGGCCAGAACCATGAACGGGACCCGTTTGCCTGCGAACTCGTACAGGATCCCGCCGAACGGAGGCGCCACGAGGCTCCCGAACGAGATGAAGGCGAGCGCGATGCCGAGCGCGCGACTCCTCTCCGCCTCCTCCGTGTATTTGTCCGCGATCATCGCGATCCCCGACGTGTCCGCGAACGCCGAGCCGAAGCCCTGCAGACTGCGCGCGCAGAACAGCGTCCAGTAGTTCTCCGCGAACGCGAAGATACAGGTGGAGACGAACATGACCAGGAGTCCGATCAGCAGCGGGATGTCGTACCCGACGCGGTCGATGAAGGTGCCGGTGAACGGGTTGACCAGGAGCTGCAGGATGGCCTTGGACGCGAACAACACCCCGATCTGGATGTCCAGGTTCTCCCGGGTGGCTCTGCTCAGGGAAGAGTTGGCGTGCGTGCTGCGCAAAGCTTGCGCGTTCTCCAAATCTGTCAGATAATCGGGGATGATGGGAACGATCACCATGTAAAGCATGTTGTCCAGCAGAAGCGCGACGCAAACTATCACCAGAATGACGCGTCTCTGCCGCTCCGGGTCGCGCAACGCGCTGCCCAGCTGTTTACTTCTTTCGCCCATCTCAGACAACTTTAGTGCGGCTGACTGAGCCAGCCCAGCAGACCCAGCCGAACCAGCAGACTCCATGCCTGTTTCCATCAGGAGAAATGTCCTTCACAATGTCTTTTCATGCCCTTTATGTGCAGCGACGCTTCTGCTGTTTACGCACGAACTTTCCCGGTGTCCGGCGCGCGCGCTCGGGTTGCTTTGCTCTGGTCTGTCGGCTGGTGACGTGCTAGTCTTCTCTCTTCACAGTCCTGAGCTTTGCATCTTGCGTTTCCATTTCTACTGAGCCTTTTTTCATTGACATTCCTGTTACGCGCGTATTGAGTTTTCGCTCTCTCGTGCGCGCGCAATGTCTGTCACCTGTGGTCATTCACATCAGTTTTCTTTCCACCAGAAATAGTAGGCTTGCTAGGAGCACAAATTAACAAGTGTGCCAATATCAGTTTCCTCTTACTTCCTCTGTCTGTGTTCTGTCCAGGTGGCGCGCGCGCGCGTGCCCGCCCGCTGGTCATCAGCTGCGGCCGTCCTAAAACTGACCAATCAGAGTCATCCTCACATGATGAAGAAAACAGTGCTCGGACGAGTTCATCAAAGCTCGTCTTATAATAACCGAATATAAATAATAAATAATAAATGCAAATAATAAATGCATGAACAAAACCAGAAATGCACATTATATGAGCGCCAGGGTTTCCAGTCAGATCAGGATAAAATCTATATTAAGGGTTTTCTTGATGGAACACAATTAGAATTGTTAGTTTCTTTTTATTCGACTATTTTTGTGAAACGTGATATTAAATAATTGAAATTCACTTGTATTATTGATTGACTTTATTGTGTTTTTATTGCAAGAAAAGAAACAGCACTGCATTGAACTGAGTTGAAAGAAAAAGAAAACAGAGAAATACCAATGACAACCAGTCAGAAAAATATGATCATGATTGTCTGTCTGACGCTGCTGTATGAGAGCTGAACTGAGCCGGGCAATGACGTCATTATTATTATTTTTTTTTTTGCAGAACTGCTTACAGTGACTTTTGTTCAAGTACACACACACACACACACACACACACACACACACACACACACACACACACACACACACACACACACACACACACACACACACACACACACACACACACACATATCTATATATATTCTTTATAGGCTACTCTAGGCCTATATATATTCTTTTACCACCAAAACACTATTGTATTGCGTTTAATTAACCTAACCTGTATAATTTTCCACTTTAATCGTTAAACTATGTAAAGCATTTAATTTTGCGATAAAAAACACTATTTCCAAAACGTATTGGATGAAGATGGTGTGTGAAGAAGGTGGCAAGGTGCATGGCCTCAGTTAATGTAAAGGCAAAGTTTTTCATTTCTGTTAGTATTTCGGTTAGTAGCAATAAAAATAAATTTTGTTCAAATTATCTTAAGCAAATTGCTATACATTTTGTTCAAACTTAATTTGATTGTGTTCAGTCTGCTTAAATATGTCAAATTAAAGTTTACTTCATCTTTTTGGGTTGGATTACGTGAATGATTTGATTAGCATTAACGGAAACTGCGGTGCTTGTTAGTTCCCAGCATGCTTTGCATATCGCTGAAATAAGAGGGAATATGTTGAAATTACGTGATTTTATGTGTTTTTGAGAAAATTAGGGAAAGCCGAAGGCTTGGTAGCCTAGTGTGTAATGGGCTCTATGCACGGCGGTATTTCCGGTGAAGTTGTAAGGATGCTCGATAACTTCCGCCGATCGTAGAGTCCAATGCAATACCGAGAATGTACTATATTGAATTTTATACTCCATGGTTATACTAAAGAAACGTTAGTCACAAAAACAAATAAAACAGACACCCCTCGTTGTGTTTATGCTTCTTTTTAAAATTATATTAAATAAACATAACTATATATACAATTACATCTAAACGTATGTACGTTTCGTTTCAAAGACGGGAGGACAGTAAATATTGAAGTCTCTGCCATAATCCCGTTTTCTCGGTTTCCACCGCTTTAATCTCCACAACCGGAAATGGACGAGCATCCTTACGTCAAATGCGGAACTTATACGTCGTGCATATTGTGTTTAATGTTAAATTACGTTGCATTACATTAGGATGTGGACTGATTGAGAAAACGTTTATAGAGGAACTGAACCTGATTAGAGTCTGACTCCACCCACTGGCAATACTGGAGAAATGCTGAGAAATTGGGCAGACCCCAGCAGAGATAGAGGAGCTAGTTTTGTTTTTGGCGGCCAGTTTTAATTTTAGTGTTAGTCTAGTCTTTGTGTCAAGCTGACATTTTAGTTTTTATTGGTTTTAGTCACGTTCATGCTCTTTTTAATCTAGTCTAGTTTTAATCGACGTCTTTTAGTCAAAGAAAATTGTATTTTAGTCTCTTTTTAGTATGCAATTATTTTTAACCCAGTCAATATGTAAGTAGCCTACCTAGTAACCAACATTTTGTTTTAGCCAAACCCATTTCAAACAACCATATCTTCTTATTATCTTCTTATATTATTGGTACCTTATAGACTCAAGAATTAATACATCCATTCGGGAAGACGCTCTGATTTGAATTTACAACATATGAAGAGTTCAGATGGAAAAGCCTCTAAATGCCATTTGAAATTTTGTTCTAGAATGACCATTTTTATCAAGCTTGTGTATTTAAGTTCAGTAATTTCACTTAAATGACAATTAAAAGGTAATCTTTGTTGCCATTTAAGTGAAATTACTGAACTTAAATATACAAGCTTGATAAAAATTATAATTTTAGAAGAAAATTTCAAATGGCACTTAGAGGCTTTTGCATCTGAACTCTTCATATTTATTTTACCAACCAAACATGTTAGAAGTGTAGCCTACACACACACACACACACACACACACACACACACACACAGACACGATAAAATAAAAGTTTTTCCAAATGTCATTTCTTCTTTTTCTCCCAAAGACGAATCCCTTTCTATGTGTCAGACTTAACTTTGTTTGTTGTGGTTTATGCTAACGCCTGTTTCGCGCATTCTCCGTTTGCGGTGTGTGTGTGTTTCCCACACAGATTAGCGCTCCAGGAGCGGTGCGTGCACACAGTAGACAACAACGCGACACAATGGATGTAGGCTAAAAATATTGATTTGAAATAAAAAATAGAGAATAAATGTTGTGATTGTGGTACAGCCGTAGATCAGTTGCGCACTGCAAACGCAGCACGTGTGAAAGCAATAGCGCGCGCTGCTCCTGCATACACACCGCATTGGTCGTGAGATAGTGTTGGCTCTACACACGGAGTGTGTGTGTGATATCTGTTAATGTTACTATTAATCTCACAGAAAATAACAATCATCTCACATGTATGCCTGAACATTATGGCTGTGAAAGGACTTTCTTGTTCCAATGACTCCAGGGACTCTTATCATAAGATTAACAGAATAATAACAATTAAAAAAAGAAAAGAATTCTTAACATGTACTGTATTGTATAGTAAGAGCTCTAAGTGAAATCTTCTTTTTGAAAGAAAAAAAAAATGTTCATGTGTCAATATGTCTATAATATATCTAACCCTATCAATATATCTTACCGGCAATTTTATTAAACCCCTCTTTTATCGACATGTTATGGTGGCCGAGAGGTGCAAAACAAATCACAATTATAAAAACAAAAAAACAAGTCAGAAAACACAACGACAATTCAGAAAACAAAATAACAATTCAGAAAACACAAAAACAAATCTGAAAACAAATTAACAAGTCAGAAAACACAAAAACAAATCTGAAAACAAATTAACAAGTCAGAAAACACAACGACAAGTCAGACAAAACGGAAAAGGTAGGTATATGTGGCGAATGGAATACTGATCGCTGATTGGACGAGACATCTGTCAATCAAGACATACAGGCAGAAGAAAGATCGATTCGTGTGTGCATGTGTAAATATTAGCTGTATCGTCTAGGCAGCCCGCCAATCATCTTCATGCGGCCCGAGAGCACTCCAACCTCCCCCTCCTATTTTCTGGTGGTGCAGCTAAATTTGGTTTTATATGCGCGTGGCCGCAGTGGCGCGTGCAGCTGTATACGCACTGTGTGTGTACCACGAGCGCTCCGACTGATCTGAGAAAAACGTTTTCAGTCCGAATATTTCAGCAGTTAATATGTGTGTCCCGTATTTCTGTCGACTGAACCAGCGATATTAATCATTCGTTGGTTCGATTCCTATCTCCTTTTCACGAATTGGCCAAGCGCGCGTGCATAACAGTAGGAAACGATTCGGATTAGTTCGGACCGTTCTGTCACTGAATCATCTGAAGCGGTTTCTCGGTCAGTAAGAACAAATAGAGAACAAAATAGCGCTGGTTTCAGTTGTTTCACTAGTTTACTTTGAACTAGGCAGTGCGGTCCAGTGGATAACCGAACGCAAGCTTAAAGGAGTTGCGTTTTCTAATAGTGGTAGGAAGATTTTAATTTGAAAAGTATTGTTCTCCATAATATCACTAAATTAGCCGGCTAAATAGACAGCTAATATTTACACATACACATGCGAATCAATCTTTCTTCTGCCGCAGGCGCAGTCTGCTGTACTTTCTCTATGTCTTGATTGACAGATGTCTCGTCAAATCAGCGATCAGTATTCCATTCGCCACATATACCTACCTTTTCCGTTTTGTCTAACTTGTCATTGTGTTTTCTGACTTGTTAATTTGTTTTCAGATTTGTCGTTGTGTTTTCTGATTTGTTAATTTGTTTTCAGATTTGTTGTTGTGTTTTCTGAATTGTTATTTTGTTTTCTGAATTGTCGTTGTGTTTTCTGACTTGTTTTTTTGTTTTCATAATTGTGATTTGTTTTGCACCTCTCGGCCACCGTAACATGTCGATGAATGAATGAAACACAATGAAGCTGTTGATGAACTGCAGAGCGAGGACCGCTTTACCCGTGCCGTGTTTCAAAAGACACAGCACAATACACAGCCTAGGGAAAGGAAAGGTAAGGGGGTTTTATCTGTCCTTTAACTCTATCTCACAATTTGCGCTGAGGTGTCCAAGAAAAGGTGAAGCCAACAGACACTGGGAATCAGTGTTAGTGTATCGATCTCAGCTGTAGTTCAGTGATCAGTGTTTGTGTGCAGTGCGCAGTTCAGCCGCCAGATGGCGCCATCAGTCAGGAACAAGCGTGTGTTCGGCGTCTGTTAAGAATGACATGATCTGCAATAACTGATGAGTGTTGCTTCTGTGTGTTGCTGCTATAATTTCGTTGCTGCTTAAATCTTCTTAAATGTCAAATCTTTGCTCAGGATTACAAGTAAGGTTCACATGTGATAAAGGTAAACCGGTTTAGCTCAAATGCTGAAAAGAAGCTGCCACCGGAGTGATATACATATTATTACATTATCTAGTATCAGTAATAGGATCATTAAATGCACATTCTCCCAAACTTTTATGTGGAATGGCATTCATTTTTTGGGAGAATAATCCGGGCCACATGTAAAGATGAATACCAATTATGAGTGAATGTGTTGTAGTGACAGTATAGACTCATGTGAAAGTTGTTCTGTATTAATGAATGGTTGTTGCACAGAGTTAATGATTAAATTAACTGACCTTTATCCTCGAGACGCATCTGCAATATATACTTAAATAAACCTAACTGGACTCTTACAGATGTTGCGTAACCTCACAGCATTTTCCCGTCACTGATGGCGTTTCTTATAAACTTAATCACACTGACCACAATTGAGCTGCTTTTCAAGAAACGCTTAAAGATCTTTTTCTCCAGCACTTGAGCCATTAATAATAATACTTCTACTCTATTTCTATACACAGCACTTGCATATTGTTGCGCTTTTGTTGGATTAACCGCTTCTATTGCTCTCCTCGTTTGTAAATCTCTTTGGATAAATGATTAAATGTAAATGTTGTGTTAAATCTGCCCTGTGATAGGAAGTGTCTGTCAGCTTTGCTTAGAGAAACTGGCCAAATCTTCATCCCTGTGATCTAATCTAGAGCTTCAGGACCGTGTGAAGGTTTTTACTGGAGTGTTTACGCTCTTCAATGTCTATTTCCAAGGCTGTTTCTGAGAAGAGTCGTGGAGTTAATCCGGTTTACGGGGTCAGTGTCAGCGTACAGACCGAGATAGAGCTGAGATAGAGCCGAGATAGAGCCGAGATAGAGCCGAGAGTGAGGGTCGTGACCCAGAGCCGTGTGAACTAGAGCTCAAGCTGTTGCATCATCGCAGCTTCATCCGAGCCGACAAAACCACTGTTAGGAAAACCTTTAAATATCTCCACAACAGCTTAAAGAGCAAATATCTGGAAAGAAGACAGTTCTTATCCCAAATTAGCGCCATCTGCTTTGTCTATTTTTAAAAAAAGTTAAGTTGTTTTTAGTCAATGTTGTTTGTCTCTCAGCTCATGTTAAATCCCCTCATTTATAAACCGTGGTGGAGAAAGAGGACTACATCTGATCTTAGATCGTTTCTCAAGTGTGTGATTCAGAGAACGAACACCTCTCTTCCAGAAATGAAATCTATAAATCGCAAAAGATCTTGAAACTGCGCAGCTGAATGGGTTCAGATCTCCACCTGTGAACCAAACATGATTAACATGAAACAGAAGTCCTAACCCTGCAGTCTCTGACGAGTGTGTGTTCGAGACCCCGCAGTTCTCCGACTCTCTGACGAGTGTGTGTTCGAGACCCCGCAGTTCTCCGACTCTCTGACGAGTGTGTGTTCGAGACCCTGCAGTTCTCCGACTCTCTGACGAGTGTGTGTTCGAGACCCCGCAGTTCTCCGACTCTCTGACGAGTGTGTGTTCGTCTGCTCAGACCCTGCAGTCTTCTGTGTGTGTGTGTGTGTGTGTGTGTGTGTGTGGAAGAGGAGGTATTCTGAGAGCCATTGGTCAGCATGTGAACCCTAACCCTAACCCTGTGACCGGCGCATTAATGATCCTGATCCGCTTTGGGAAACAAACATGCGTCACAAACCCAAATCTGCCGATATGAGAGCAGCTCCTTGTGCAGAGGAATTACTGAAGATTACAAAAGCCTGCAGATCTCTTAATCCTAAATGTGCATGTTGAATATTAGCCACTGTTCAGAGACCTGAGCTAACCACTGAAACCATCCATGAAGATCTCTCAACCTGGAAAATGAACTTCAATAAAAGCACCTGCATCACTCAGACATTAGCACCCCAAACTCACTCATGTAGAGGAACGAGAGCGTATAGTGAGTGTTTGTGAATGAAACCAGTGAAGAAGAATGAGCCTGTGATGTGCATCAGTCCCCTGAAGGACCCCTAAAGAAACTGAGACAACCGTCTTAAGCCTCACGTTTATTCTGTGGATTTACAAAGAAAGGCCCATTTGTTATTAGCGGTTCATTCAAGCTTTGGCTAGAAAAATCCTCTGTCTTCATAAGCTACGTTTACATGGACACAATCAGATTGAAATCAATACGACTGATGATCCGATCAAGGTGTTTACATGAATGATAAATAAAGTGATCGGGTTGATGTGCGCGTTTATAGTCACAAAATTCAAATCGGAATTGATTTTTTGGCATGGGCACTGCAGGGATATACCACTGGTCGCGCATAAGCATAACTGTATTTGTTTTAAACAACAGACTTTTTTATCCGTCTTTTTAATTTGTGTCCGTCTCTGGCCATGATTTGGAGACGACGAGCATGAACCGTTTTGCCGTGCGGAGTGTATTTATCACGCAGTAAAACCCCGCGCCCGTGGAGGAGAATGTAAAACAAGCACTGGTGGGACGTTGTCCTGCTTCGCTTCACAGACACTGAGGGAAATGAGAATTGTTTTAATAACAAAACATTGGTTTATATGACACTTTATTCAACCGGAAGAACAGCTCGTTCCGTGCGTCATTCGTCATTACGCTATTTCAACGTCATTGCACAGTTTCAGTTTTCAATCCGATCAAGTGTTTACATGTTCTCTCTGTTCTCCCTACTAAAGGAGTAAAGCACCCCTTTCAATCCGATCGAAATTCTAGTCGGATCGAGCTCAATCGGATCGATCAAGGTGTTCACGTGACGGGTTTTTAGTCCGATTGAGCCGTCAATCCGATTAAAAGGGTCCATGTAAACGCAGCTATAGATTCACACATGAATACTGACCCATAAGGCAACAGAGACAGTAAGGCATCAATAATGAATGTCCTGAATGAATTGTGGGAATTGTAAGTCATCTCTCACTCTTCAGGCTTCGAACCGTATTTCAGTGTTCAATTAATAATTCAGGGAAATTCTGGACAAACATCTCCAAATGTGTTAGGCACTGATTCGACATAAACATCATCATGTGTGAACGCGTGTAGATTCTTCTGAATACAATATTTCATGGGCGGACGGAGGACTCTTATTTCTTCTTGTCCGCAGGTTTCTGTCCCGTGAGGAACTGCCAGATTCCCCCGCGGTAGAACTCGTTACCGTATGCGTACATGGCGGCGTGGAAGATCGGAGACGTCTTTGCGAGCACCGGGAGAACCTGCAGGATTTACAAGAAGAAGACTGAGATTCTGAACTGAGCAGATTAAGAGAAGAGAAGATGGCGGTCCTCTTACCATCCTGAGCTTGGGTGAAACGAGACTGGCGTTCTCGAAGCAGGCGTATGTGCACATCAGAACATACGGACCCCAGCAGAACAACAGCATCTTCAGCGGCAAGCCGGTGTTAAACTACAGGACAAAGACAAAGAGCCACTCATGCATTCACTGTCGGGTCCGACACCAGCAATCTTTCAATGCAAGACTGAGACCTTAAAACACACGATGAGATCCTGATCTACAGCTAAGGAGACTATAAAAAGCCAGTTCTTTTAAAACTACAATGATTGGGTTTGATTTCCTTTGAGAGTGTGCGAGTACCTTAAAGTGGTGTGTCTTTTTGAAATGTGCATAGATGCCGTTGTAGGAGGATTGCATGATGAGAACGGGGAACGCTAAATAGAGAACAGTGATGGTCAGCATGTAGCTGATGTAATTCCTGAAGAACAGAGCAGAGAACATCATCAATTACGCCACCGCAGATACGCTAATCAGCCATTTCAGTGTTCTTAGCAAAGTTTTCAGGCTTGTTGTGCTTTGCTATGAGCTACAGCAAACGCTTCAGGTGTGTGAGTCAGGTGTGTGAGTCAGGTGTGTGTGTGTGTGAGTCAGGTGTGTGAGGTGTGTGTGTGTGTGTGAGGTGTGTGTGTGTGAGTCAGGTGTGTGAGGTGTGTGATGTGTGTGTGTGTGTCAGGTGTGTGAGTGTCACCTGTCTCCGATTGTGTAGTCCAGTGTGCAGCAGGTTCTCATTGGCTCAAAGTCAAACACTCCCCAGCCAATAGCAGGCAGTGGCAGAGCGGCCCAGAAGACGGCCAGGATCCAGATGAGGGCGCTGATGGTTCCAGATGTGCTCCAAAACATCTTCTGCTCTGCAAACACACTCCACTCACTCATATACCGACTAACAGCGGGTCACTGAACACACTGAACTCAAGGCTTCAAGGAAAGGACCATGAACACTGAAGGATAATCCAGTAACGCTTCTCTGGATGGGAGATTTACTCACTGGTGCAGTACAGGTGATATCTGTCCCAAGCAATGGCACCCAGAAAACTGATGGAGGCGAGAATCGAGACCATTCCCTGAAACCCGTGAATCTGGCAGCCCTCGGACCCGAACGGCCAGTATCTGTGAGAGGTCAGAGGTCAGGAAAAACACAAATACACACTGGTTTTCAACATATATGATGTTTTATTAACAGGGTTTGGGAGGAGCACGTTCAGATAATTAACACAGTCTCAGCTCACTCCAGCATCCCTCCACTCGTCTAACATAACCATTCACATACGGAGGGACTGCTCCGGGTTTAGCCTTCAAATTACGCATTACACTTTAGAGAGATACAAATACAATTGATGTTCTGAATTGATGCAGTAGTTTTTGTGTTTTGATGTGTGTTTGTATGTCTATGTTATTGTAGCTGCTATCTAGGCCACGTCACTCTTGTAAAAGAGATTTTAATCTGAATGAGTTTTTTTTACTTGGTAAATAAAGGTTGAGCCGGTACCTCAGATAACTGGCGTACGCCGCCACCAGCCCGTTGATATTGAGGCTCAGATCCGCCACTGCCAGGTTAAAGATGAAGAAGTTATTGGGCGTCTGTATCTCTCGCACTCGGAGGAACGCCAGCACTGAGATCAGGTTCAGGAAGAAGCCGAGAAGGCCTGGAGGAAAATATTCAGATATTCAGACCGTACTGTCTGTGTGCACAGCAATAAACAGAGAATAATCATACATAATGCTGTTAGAAGAACAGAAAAAGTACTAATAATAATAACCACGTCAAGTCAGCTTTATTTCTATAACGCTTATACGCTATACGAGTGTGTGAGAGCAGCTTTACAGAGATAACTGAGATGCTTCAGCTCAGTCAGTTCAGAGTTTCACTGTAAAGATCATCAATTATTGAATTAGTTCATTTCATCTATACAGCAGTTCTGCAGGAAACGGTGACGTCATCATCCAGATCAGATTGTACCATCACTGTACTGACAGAAACTTTCAGAAAAGTTCATTTACATAGGTTTCTTTTTTAAATAAATGATCAACAGATTCGTGTAAATCTATGCACAGGTTTTGTGAACACACTAGCAGAGGATAGCAAGACCAGCTCTCAGTAATCGATAAACCAGCCTTCACTAATCAATCCAGAACTGTTATCAGCTATGTTTATCAATACGTTCGTCGTTGAAGGACTATCCAGCATCGATGGATCGATTAATCGACTGATTGATTGATTGATTGATCGATCAGCGTCACTCACCGCCGACCAGCAACGCGGATCCGAAGGCGAACATGTCGAAATCACTGAAACCCTCCGGTAACGCGTATGAAGCCATTTTCAGCAGTTTCTCACAGCTGTCCGATCGCAGTGCCCGAGTTTATATGTGTGTGTCTTTGCTTGTGAAAGTGTGTGTGAGATTTAAAGCCTCTGAAATCCCCGCAGGAATGTTTTAATTTTTAATGCCGCAGAAGTTTGTGAAACAAAAGCTGTTGCGCTCATTCTCCTCAGTCATGCGTCCGAGAACAGCGAAGAGGAACACACACACACACACACACACACACACACACACACACACACACACACACACACACACACACACACACACACACACACACACACACACACACACACACACACACACACACACACACACACACACAATGAACACACGCTCGAACATCAAATCCTCAACACATATACTGTAGTTGAGCTTGTCATATAGATTTGCTATGGCCACGTTATATTATTATATTTATTTTTAAGGTTTAAAGGGACATGAAATTCAAATCCTCAAAAAGTTGTACTTCCACCAAAAATAAAATAAAAAGTATGTAGACATAGCTTCCTAGAAGTAGTTTATATTCTGCAGCTTCATCTTCATCTTCATCCCTCAACCTGACATAATCTAAACTAACACTAAACCTAAACGAACCCCTTTTTGCTTGAGATCAAAGTGCCAGAATCAGTCTACTGTGTCTGTATTTTGTGGACACACTTCTAAACGAAACTGTTAAATTCAAATCAAAGGTTGCATTTAGGAAACTAATTCTGTAACTAATTAACTATAACTAATAACTAATTCTTTGTTCTTAGATTTCAGATGTTAATGCCATTGGGAAATAATATGCGTACATTGTACAAAAGTCGAATGAAATGGGTTCACTGTAATAATCTCATTTTAGCGGACAGAGACTCTCCAAAGAACAAAGCTTTCCCCTGTTGTTTTCCACTGATAAGAGTTTCTATAAAACGAATGATTAAAAAGTGCAATCTGAGTGAACCTGAGAAATCAGAAATCAGAAACTAGTTCTCTACACTTAGTTGGATCTGTTTAATAAACGAGTTAATTAATAATTTAAATATGATGAATGGTGTGGATCTCCATTATTGGTTTAAAGGACAGAATGTGGAGCAAATAGAGGCTACTAGTATCATGCTATATACAGTATTATATTATATTTTATTATATATGTTATATTATGTTATTTATATTAATTATATTATATTATTATATAATATTAAATATTATGTTCTGAAGACTATGCACATGAATGTATTTCAGTGTGAGACAGTAAAAAGACTCCATACTGCCACCAGGTGTTCCTCACGACATACACACACGACACTGTTAATATTTTAATGTATCACCATCTGCATTTTTGTTTTAATCATGTAAGCGATGTAGACCAAACAGACAGTAAAGATATTCATGTTATCTAACCATTTTAACCAGATCTGTGTGTAAAGCAGATGTATTCGAAAAACAGAAAAATTAATATGATCTTCATTTTAATGCACCACAAACACTGTTTTTGCTGAAGTGAAAATTCCTGCTAAAGTGCATCATTGAGTTGAATTGACGTTTTGATGCATGGATTTGAAGTCAAAGGTCAAACAAACAAAACACTTTTGCATGTGTCATGTTTTTATTTAATATATCTATTACAAAATATTTTCAATTTAAGTAATCTTTGAAAAGCAACATCATAAAAAATACAGTTCTCCCCACTGCATGGCTTCCTGGCCGTGTGGTAAAAATAGAATAAAAGAAAGCCGATCACCGATACGATGCTGTGAATTCACAAACTTCTGTCCAATCCCAGGTCTAAAATTAACCCTCCAATCAAAAAGGAACGTCTCTGTTCTGTGTATATACAAAAGGCAACCGCGCAGCCTATGGGCTTCCAGGAAGGAATAATCGTGTAAATGAAAATACCCAAGGTCTTCCTCTAATCTGCTCTATCCCTTTTATCTGGGGATTCGGAGCAGAGCGAGCAGAAGCTGGAGAGACGCAGAGATGCTGCAGGAATAACAGACTCAGGATCACAGCGAGAGAGAACCGGAGGCAGGGAAGATGTTTTGGGGTTTGGCGCTGGCGCTGTGTGTTCTCCCCTCGATCTGCGGCTCCTGTCCTGCTCAGTGCAGCTGCTTCTACCACAAACTGAGCGACGGCTCCAAGTCAAGGTATTTCACACGGACTCTGTCATTTACTGAACGCAGGTGTTACTGTAGAAAGGGTTCATATGGACCGTGGTCTGCAGAGTATTGACATGCCAGATTGAGCCTGCTCTTCATGTAGTCATTGGATTAACGCGCGCGTGCTTTTTAATCTCCTCCGTCGCAGTGTTTCAGGTCTCTGCACACAGTGTGATGATGATGATGATGATGATGATGATAATAAACAATAAAAGTAAACCCAAAATAGTGCACAGCGTATCATTGTTGATTGACTCCTGTAATTGTAAATAAAAGTGGATAATTCTTGTTTGTTGTTGACCATAAGGACGTGGCTGTCATAAACACATCTCTGTGCTGTGTTTCTGTAGGAGTGTCCTGTGTAATGGCCCTGACCTCACTGTCATCCCAAACAACTTTCCCTCGGACACCTCCAAACTGCGCATCGAGAAGACGTCCATCAGCCGTGTGGCCAGCGATACCTTTCTCTACCTCATTAACCTGGAGTACCTCTGGATATCCTTCAACTCGCTCTCCTCCCTCAGCGCCGACAGCTTCCGAGGACTCTATGCCTTGGATGAACTACGGATGGATGGGAATCTTCTCACTTCATTTCCATGGGAATGTTTGACGGACATGCCCAGCCTTCGGCTTCTGGATTTGCACAACAATAAAATCAGCAGCATCCCAGCTGAGGCAACCATTTACATCAAAAACTTGACCTATCTGGATCTGTCCAGCAACAGTCTTGCTACCGTCCCGGCCGAGGTTCTGACGTCATGGTTCTCTCTGAAACCTCCTCCAGATACAGAGAATTCCAAAATGATTCTGGGTGAGTTTATTCCTACAGTCTGACCATTTGAGTCTTAGTCATTAGCCAATAGGAAAACATAGACGTAAGTGTCTGTTCTTTGTGCAGGTCTTCACGACAACCCCTGGCAGTGTGACTGTCGTCTGTTTGAGATGGTGCAGTTCCAGAAGTTTCCTTCGTCCTCGGTGGCGCTGATCGACACAGGCCTGCGCTGTGCCGAGCCGGAGAGCCTGTCAGGAGTCCTCTTCTCGGACGCTGAGCTCCGCAAGTGCCAGGTTCCCCGCGTGCACACGGCCGTCGCCAGGGTCCGCAGCTCCATCGGGAACAACGTGCTTCTGCGCTGCGGGACCATCGGAGTGCCCATCCCGGAGCTTGCCTGGTCCCGGGCCGACGGCAAGCCCATGAACGGCACCGGTACGCTCGCTCTCGTCTCGTGTCTGCCTGGGTTTATTGCTCCTGCTAAGTGAATGCGCCGCCCAGGCGTGCTTTAACTGCTAATAAATAAATGGAATCCGCTGCTCAAGCAATAAGAGACGCAAACGTGCAAGTGAAATTAGTTGTGATCGCTGTTATGTGTAAATGCACAACTAGAACTCATGCTAATGTCATTGTGTTTTCTTTTATCCTATAGTTCAACAGGAAGTCTCTAAAGAGGGCATCATCTGGTCCATTCTCAGCGTTCCTGCTGTTTCCTATCGAGATTCAGGGAAATATGTTTGCAGAGCCACGAACTTTGTCGGGAGTGCCGATGCCATCATCTCACTCGTCATTTCTGATACGTGGCAAATCGACGAAACGGTCGCCAAAAAAAGCTACGGAAAGAAGAATGGTGGATTTGGTCGTGCGGCGTATCAAGAGAAACTCGTGGCCAGATACGTGCCTCCTGCCACGTCGGCCGCCGTGCCCATTATTGAGCCTCTAAATGGACCAAAAAACACACAGTCTATCCGGGTCGAAAGCTACAGCGTTTCTGATGATGCTCCCAAAGCGAACGCCACGGCGGCACCGGCAGCCAGCACAGAGGCCGACAGTGTCGAGGAACTTCAGAAAGACGTGTTGAGGAACCTTGAGGCCGATGTTTCTTCTCTACAGCAGGTCCCCGAGCGCCGAGTCGTTCGGTCAGTCAAAGTGATCGGCGACACCGACCACACCGTATCCCTGAACTGGCGAGCGCCCACAGCCACCAACACCACGTCCTTTAGCGTTCTGTACGCCGTCTTCGGTGAGCGAGATATGCGGCGCATTAATGTCGGACCCGGCAAGAATCGCATCACGATCGAAGGCCTCGTGCCCAAAACCAAGTACATAGCGTGTGTGTGTGTGAAAGGCCTCATCCCTAAGAAAGAGCAGTGTGTGATTTTCTCCACGGACGAGGCGGCCAGTGCCAGCGGCACACAGAAGCTCATTAACGTGGTGGTGATCACTGTCGCCTGCGTCATCGCGGTTCCTCTGACCCTGATCGTGTGCTGTGGGGCGCTGAAGAAGAGGCTGCAGAAACTGCTGGGACGCAAGGCCAAAGACATTCAGGATTCCTATGTGACGTTTGAGACTCTGTCTCCAGGCACCAAAGCTAAAGGCATGGAGGGGGAATACCTCAGCAGACTGAACCCGGACGAGTCCAACCGCCTGCTGTCAGCCCGCTCCAGCCTCGACTCGGCAGCCACGGCCCGGACCGAGGGACAGCCCAACGAGTACTTCTGTTGATCCAAACCCATGGCCCGGTCCGAGGGACAGCTCAACGAGTACTTCTGTTGATCCAGACCCATGGCCCGGTCCGAGGGACAGCTCAACGAGTACTTCTGTTGATCCAGACCCATGGCCCGGGCCGAGGGACAGCTCAACGAGTACTTCTGTTGATCCAAACCCATGGCCCGGTCCGAGGGACAGCTCAACGAGTACTTCTGTTGATCCAGACCCATGGCCCGGTCCGAGGGACAGCTCAACGAGTACTTCTGTTGATCCAGACCCATGGCCCGGTCCGAGGGACAGCTCAACGAGTACTTCTGTTGATCCAAACCCATGGCCCGGTCCGAGGGACAGCTCAACGAGTACTTCTGTTGATCCAAACCCATGGCCCGGTCCGAGGGACAGCTCAACGAGTACTTCTGTTCATCCAAACTAAGTTTCATGTGTTTGAAAGCATGTTGACCTTCCTCAGCCCCGAAAGGGAACAAACCAGTTTAGAGAAAGTTCACTGTTCAAAAAGGGAATGAAATAATGTCTTTGTTTTTTATTTTTGTCATGCATTTTTCCAATGAAATGTTTATCATTGATGAATTCATCATGCATATTGAATACAGTGAAATATCTTTATACAACACATAATACCCATCTGTCTGATGTGAAAGTGAGAGCATAAGACTTTCTGTTTGGACTGCCAAGAGAAGGTTAGTGACATACATCCTTAAACTTTTTCTTTTTAAGTGTTTTTCTTTGTACTGTTATCTTGGGTGAGTGTTTTCCACTTTAACCCTAAAACTGTACTTATAATCTGTCAAATCAAGAATTTGTTGATGTCTCTATGTACTGAAATATTTTGTGTTTAAGAAAATTACTGAATAAAACATTTTTTTAAATATGGTTCTTGATATCTGAAGTCTTGCACCTGAAAACGTACGATGCACATTAACCGTTCTATTCCTAATTCGTCTGAATGCTCAAAGCAATATTTTCAAACTTAAGTTGAAGTTTGAGCATTAAGGATAATAGGATTTACTCCATAGATCCAGTGAACCGCACGGAGCTGCCGTGTGTTTAATGTCTGAGATCCCAAATGTAATTCTGTATAAAAGCTATTTAAATGATTGAGAGAAGGATTTAGAGAATTAATATTTCTTAACACTTGCTTTATCTTGTTTTATTAAAACTTCAGTAATTCATTACCGCACAGCAATTGAACAAAAGTAATTTAATTTGAACATGTTCATTATTTATTGCTGGTAAGCGCCTGTGAAATAACACAGGATTGTGTCTAAGCATCATTTGCTCCCTGATCCACTGCGTCAGGATAGATTAAGGGTAATGAGCTTAAGTGAAGCAGGACCACAGATAAAGCACTCAATGAGTGTTTTCAGAACACTATGGCCGTCTTCCTCACGGCTCTATCTGTGCTCTTCCTTGTGTCCGACCCGAGCCCTGTGTCCGACCAATTCCCTGTGTCCCACCGGATCCCCGTGTCCGACCAGATCCCTGTGTCCGACCAGATCCCTGTGTCCAACCCGATCCCTGTGTCCAACCCGATCCTTGTGTCTGACCCAATCCCTATGTCCGACCCTATCCCTGTGTCCGATCGGATCCTTATGTCCGACCTGATCTCTGTGTCCGACTGGATTCCTCTGTCCGACCGGATCCCTGTGTCCCACCGGATCCCCGTGTCCGACCAGATCCCTGTGTCCGACCAGATCCCTGTGTCCAACCCGATCCCTGTGTCCAACCCGATCCTTGTGTCTGACCCAATCCCTATGTCCGACCCTATCCCTGTGTCCGATCGGATCCTTATGTCCGACCTGATCTCTGTGTCCGACTGGATTCCTCTGTCCGACCAGATCCCTGTGTCCCACCGGATCCCCGTGTCCGACCAGATCCCTGTGTCCGACCAGATCCCTGTGTCCAACCCGATCCCTGTGTCCAACCCGATCCTTGTGTCTGACCCAATCCCTATGTCCGACCCTATCCCTGTGTCCGATCGGATCCTTATGTCCGACCTGATCTCTGTGTCCGACTGGATTCCTCTGTCCGACCGGATCCCTGTGTCCGACTGGATCCCTGTGTCCGACCGGATCTCTTTGTCTGACCGGATCTCTGTGTCCGACCTGATCTCTGTGTCCGACCCGATCTCTGTGTTCGGCCTGATCCCTGTGTCCGACCCGATCCCTGTGTCCGATCCGATCCTTGTGTCCGACCTGATCACTGTGTCCGACTGGATCCCTGTGTCCCACCGGATCCCTTTGTCCAACCCGATCCTTGTGTCTGACCCAATCCCTGTGTCCGACCCGATCCCTGTGTCCGATCGGATCCTTGTGTCCGACCTGTTCCCTGTGTCCGACTGGATTCCTCTGTCCTACCGGATCCCTGTGTCTGACTGGATCCCTGTGTCCAACTGGATCCCTGTGTCCAACTGGATCCCTGTGTCCGACCGGATCTCTTTGTCCGACCGGATCTCTGTGTCCGACCCGATCTCTGTGTCCGACCCGATCCCTGTGTCCGACCCGATCCCTGTGTCCGACCCGATCCCTGTGTCCGACCTGATCTCTGTGTCAGACCCGATACCTATGTCCGACCCGATCTCTGTGTTCGACCTGATCCGGTCAGACACAGGGGGTTGGACACAGGGATCGGGTCGGACACAAGGATCCGGTCGGACACAGGGGGTCGGAAACAGGGGGTCGGAAACAGGGATCGGGTCGGACACAAGGATCCGGTCAGACACAGGAAGCAGGTCGAAGACAGAGATCAGGTGTTTTCAGAACACTATGGCCGTCTTCCTCATGGCTCTGTCTGTGCTCTTACTTGGGTCCGACCCGATCTCTGTGTCCGACCAATTCCCTGTGTCCCACCGGATCCCTGTGTCCGACCGGATCCCTTTGTCCAACCCGATCCTTGTGTGTGGCCCAATCCCTGTGTCCGACCTGATCCCTGTAACCGATCGGATCCTTGTGTCCGACCTGATCTCTGTGTCCGACTGGATTCCTCTGTCCGACCGGATCCCTGTGTCTGACTGGATCTCTGTGTCTGACCCGATCTCTGTGTCCAACCTGATCCTTGTGTCCGACCTGATCTCTATGTCCAACTGGATCCCTGTGTCTGACCGGATCTCTTTGTCCGACCGGATCTCTGTGTCCGACCCGATCTCTGTGTCCAACCTGATCCCTGTGTCTGACGCGATCTCTGTGTCCGACCCAATCTCTGTGTTCGACCCGATCCCTGTGTCCGACTCGATCCCTGTGTTCGACCCGATCCCTGTGTCCGACCCGATCCCTGTGTCTGACCCAATCTCTGTGTCCGACCCGATCTCTTTGTTCGACCTGATCCCTGTCTCTGACTGGATCCTTGTGTCCGACCCGATCCCTGTGTCCGACCCGATCCCTGTGTCTGACCGGATCCTTGTGTCCGACCCGATCTCTGTGTCTGACTGGATCCTTGTGTCCGACCCGATCCCTGTGTCCGACCCGATCCCTGTGTCCGACCCAATCTCTGTGTCCGACCCGATCCCTGTGTCCGACCCGATCCCTGTGTCCGACCCAATCTCTGTGTCTGACCCGATCCCTGTGTCCGACCGGATCATTGTGTCCGACCCGATCTCTGTATCAAGATCCCTGTATCCGACCCGATCACTGTTTCCGAACCGATCCCGATGTCCGACCCGATCCCGGTGTCTGTGTGTGTGTTTGTGACAGGCAGTGTGTGTGTTTGTGACGGGCAGTGTGTGTGTCAGACAGGCTCTGATTTACTCTTCAACTTTAGCATATTGTTGCACTGCTAAAAATGTGTTCAATGATAAATCACTTGTACCTAAATCAGTTTTACCTTATTTTTTGAAGTTGCCTTAAATACAAATGTTTAACAAATTAGAGAATTTAGCATTAACAATTGAATATTAGGAAGAAGACATTAGACAATTTTTTCATTTTATTTTTTCATTTTTAAATAACACCTTAAAAATGTTTTATTTCTAAATGGATTAAAAGCACAGAGTTCACATAATAAACACACTTGACATTTTGATATGCCGTACACATAGCACATGGATTTTTATCTGCTTTTAAATCACTTTCAAAATATCAGTGAAAAATTCTTTACAAAACAATAAAAAATAGTAATAACAAAAAGCAATAACTAGATGAGAGAGTCTGGTTTCAGATGTCTGTACAGCCATAAACTTTCACTGAAGATCCTCAAGGCAGAAGTTGTTCAAAGAAGAAATGCAGCCAGACAGCCGGATGTAAATCTATCGAATAACGATGGACGGAGAGTGTCGTTTGGGGGATTAGATAGGTTTAGTTTAGACTGAATGGAATGAAACCTAAAGATGGCAGTATGGAGCTAATCACCAGAACTAAAGCATGAACGGCTCTAAGAGCAGCAGGTCTGAGGTGTACATTACTGAAACGCTTTCTGCTTACAGACACATATGTGCATAGACCGGTATTAGCAAGTTACTTAGCATTTTTATGACTTTTTTTTTTAGAATACAAGCCAGATCATATAATTATAAAGACTGTACGCCATGTTGAAAAACAGAAACACTTTAGCACTTTCACACAATAATAAATAAACATTCTTCAAGAGCTGCTTGTGACATCAAGCGTTCGGTCCATCAAACACACACGTAACCCATGTGGATTGCGTCAGTGTGTCAGTAATAATAACCTCGATTTGCCTCAATAATTTTCTGTTCTATTCTCATTTTCAGCTCCGAAACGAGAGCAGAGCTGATGCCGGCGCCGTCTGTGCGACTGATGGACCCGGACACTGAGGGCACGTCCCGCTGGTCCCGCTGATGGTCCCGCCGAGGCCCGGTCGGCCCGGACACTGAGTCCCGCTGATGGCCCCGCTGGTTCCGCTGAGGCCCGGTCGGCCCAGTCGCTGCTGGAGGAGGAGGAGGGAGGACTGGAGCACTGGGAATGGGTCGCTTGGTTCTGGAGCTGCCGTTGTTTCCCTTGGGCTTGTCACTCGTGTCTTCATCATCCTCATCATGGTTGCGGTCGTGTCCGAACGCTGGCCTGAAGCTCCAGTGCTGAGGCTCTTTGGCCCTCCTGCGAATGATGCGGCGAGCTGGCCTGATCCTATTGGACTTTGTGTTGCGAAAGAACAGAAGAGTGGAGATCAAAACTGTGACCAAAACCATAACAGAGATGAAGCCGACCGCCAGGCCAAGGGCTTTCAGTGGATTCTCTCGGCTCTGCATTAGAAACATGGCCATGGGCCCTTTGAGCCCATTCTGTGAAAAGAAATATTTCAAGAAAGGGTTGTAAATAATGTACACAACATGAAGAAGTTCTGTGGTTGATGCAATAAAACAACTGTATATACACACTCCAGATTCCAGTATCAAGGCATTCGCATCATACCCCAAAGTGCTGTACATGGCAGTAATGTGATATTCTTCACAAACACAACTGAACACACACTGACCCCGACCCTGGTCTCACCGGCTCGGTGATGTCGATGTTCACGACCGCTGTGGTGCTGAAGGACGGAGAGCCTCGATCCCGGGCCTGGACCAGAACTGACCACCTGCAGTCCTTCTGTCTGGTGATGTTCTGCACGATCTCCATAGACCTGATGTACGGCTTGAGCTTAATCTCTCCCGTGGACGAGTTAATGTCGAAGATGTCGTCTGGATCGGCTTTCATGATGGAATATTCAATGATGTTATTGGGTTCCTCTGCGTCCTCATCCACAGCCTGAACACACACCGGAGTCAAGCCTCAATCATTCACATTTACTCCATTACTGACGTCTAATCTGGCTCCCTGGGATCATGGGAGTTCATGCCTCTGGAACAATGAGAGATTCGTCTAATCTAGTATGGGGGCCAATTTAGTTAAAGAACGAAAACTACAACTAGGGGGTGGTGTTGGCGCAGTGGATAAGACACATGCCTTTGGTGTGAGAGACCCGGGTTCGAATCCAATGTGTCCCTGAGCAAGACACTTAACCCCTAGTTGCTCCAGAGGCGTGCGACCTCTGACATATATATATAGCAATTGTAAGTCGCTTTGGATAAAAGCGTCAGCTAAATGAAGAAATGTAAATGATATGAAATGATACAAACCTGTATTTGCACCGGCGCCCCGATGATCATGGTCTTTTCCAGGAAGTTCTGGTTGAACTCAGGCCGATGGTCATTTTGGTCGAGCACAGTGACGAAAACCTCTGCAAGGCTGTATTTCCCCTCAGTGTCTTCAGCTTTTACATAGAAATTATATTTGGACTTGACTTCAGCATCTAAGGAGGCCCAGGGCTGCGTGTAAATGATGCCAGACGTGGGGTGAATGAGAAACCTGGAACAGACAAATAATCACAAGACTTTATTGAAAACTATGAGGTAGTTAACGTCTCTAACTCACGAGAAGTTTCCAAAAAAATGAGATGAATACCATCCGGCACTGAACAAGAAACATTTCAGTGTGGTAATGATGGATAAAAATATAGAAGATCCAAAATAAACATGCAGGTTTGAAGCCGTTATAAGAACTTGTCATTTAATCTGGATTTTAAGCAGCTGTTTTTTTAGTTCTCAGTGTGAAAATTAACAGTCAGACAGAAACCTGATATTTTTCACACCATTATAATTTGCCTTCTGTACTGGGGAAGAATCAAAGCATAAATTGACAGGTTTTGCATTATCTGTGTGTGTTCTGCCTCCAGCTGTCACATCGCGCGCTAATTGTGCCTGACTCACTCGCGGGTGTGGAGATGCTATTTTTACTCCTCCAATCCCATAATAAGATTAGCATCTCCCTCACTAGAGTCTGTCTGTAAGCTGTCCTGTGCTCGTCCTTTAGTCCTTTACTGGCCTCGTAAACACTGGGAGAGCCACTCTCTGACCTGACGCTAACAGCACACACGCTGGGGTCTGGTCCCATTCTGCGTCAGATTGGCCACCGAATCCTCATTCTTAGGTAACTTTAGTGCAGAAATCGCAAGCAAATGTTTGAAGAGTGACATATATTATTAACAAAAGATTAATCCAAACAGATGACGGAACAAATGTTACGTAAAGGCCGAACGTCTCTGATATTGGAGCTCTGAATCGCGCATCTGAAGCCACAGTGTTCATTGTTGAGAGATACTCACAGATCTGCACCAGAGCCGTAGATGGAGTATTTCACTTCACCCCAGAGCCCTGAGTCGGGGTCGGCGGCCTGTAAAACACCACAAGCGCATCAAACGTGGACACAGAATGCATGAAAACCCTCAATATAAGACCTGGAGCTGAAATATTGCCCTGATTATGAAGCGTTTGTTGGAGCAAAGCAGCAGAGACACTGCCTACAGTTAGCACTCAGGGTTCACGTCTTGGTAAAGCCTAAACATCATTCACACGCGGCTCACGGTCACGGAGACGACGTCGGATCCTCCAGGGGAGTTTTCCGGGATCCTGGCGATGTAAAACTCTGAGGAGAACTTTGGAACGTTGTCGTTGGTGTCCAGAAGATTGATCACGATGTCCGCGGTGGCACTGAAGCGCTCCGGAGTGTCGATCTCGACCGCCAGCAGCTGGAACACAGGATCAAACACTCAGACTCTGAACACACAGCGACGGGCGCGCGAGCAAGAGGAGGATCGGGATCAGACCTTGAATGTTAAGAACTGGTATTTCTCGTAGTCGATGGCGGTTGAGTTTTCCACGATGACGGTGACTTGGGCTTCGTTGAGAACCGTCTGAGGAACCACACGCAGAACTCGAGACGGTCCCGCCAGAAACAGCCGGAACTTAGCGTTCGCTCCCTGAGTGACACGGCAGAGGTCAAAGGTTACGGTATATTAACACTGACAACATCCACAGAACACTGTTCATTAGGAGAAACTTCTGAAAAAAACTTAGACGGCAATGGCGCCACCAGGGGGTGGCCAGGGGTGGCCATGGCCACCCCTGGCCGACTCCTGGCCACCCCATTGGCCACCCCAATGGCCAGTATTAATTTTTGTAGCATCAGTTATGCATTTTATAAATAAGTCAAAAATATTCTTAAGTAAAAGAAGACGGGGAATTTATGTGTCGTGACGTGCTTTTTAAGTGCCAAATGGTACAGCAGCTTTTAGGTGTGTTTTTGCCACGTTTGGACAGGCAGGGATGCAAACAGCGCGCTTTTCGGCGCCTCCCGCTTTTTTCACGTCAGTTTGGGTGACAAAGTCATCTGAAGTCATTCCATAGCTTAATGTGAGGGACAGAAGTATATTTACATCGTTAAAGTATAAACTCGTTTTCCCTCCTCTGCGACTGTCATCATTCTCCATTCATATTCAAACAGCACGCGCGCCTCTTGGATGCACGGTAAAACTCTCTCCAATACGATATATTCACGTTATAAATGCATGATCTGTAGATAAAAGTCTGTATATTCGCATAAAATTACTTTATTTTCTTGGAGTTTGTTGCTGTTTTTAAGCGACTCACTACCGATCACACATACATATCACAAGGATTCGGCATCAAACGCACAATAACTGTGAAGGAACAAATCGCACTTGGATTTGTGCGCTCAACATTTCTTCGATTTGTGACATGAGCTTTTAAATGCACATTTATGAAGCGCAGTGCTGCTGCACACTGTGACTCCATGTTGCTTTGAGCACATCATTCTGCACCCGCGATGTTTTTCATCATGCAAGAACGGGCTCAATCATGGGTTTGCGCACTGAAATATTATTAAAAGCCAATATATTTTGTTATACCTAGCCTGCTCAATACATTTTAAATAAGCATAATTTAATTGTATATAATTTATTTGTAGTTTAGGCTATGCACTTCTGAATTCTTGACATTAATATATAAATATAAAATTGTGACATGATTGCCTGATTGAATTTTAAAAGAGAACTAATAGTAATTTGTTTTTATTAACATATTTAGATTTTATAAAATTACTGTGCAGATTTTTTCAAGAATTACTTTTTGCTGCTGATGTATACATTAAGTGTATTAAAAATTCATAATACATTTATGTAATATTTAAAGGTGTTAACTGTAATCTTACACTGCAAACTAATAACTTAAAAATGATTAAATTCATCACAATTATGTAAGTATCTGGAAATTTGCTGTGGGGCAAGGACCCTTATATATCATATAATATATATCATTATATACAATGTAATATATATTAGTTGGGCCCTACTAATATCATAACATTAAATATTACACAATAAACCAAAGTATATCAGTAGGAGTTTCCTTAAGTCTTTCTGATAGTTTTCTACAGGCTGGTTTATTACAATTACATTATGGTTTATACTGTAGTTTTGGTGTGCCACCCCAAGATTTTAACTGGCCCCATCTGGCCACCCCTACGAAAAATTTCTGGAGGCGCCACTGTTAGACGGGCTAGGTTGTGTGTGTGTGTGTGTGTGAGAGAGAGAGTGGATTGGTGTGCAGGGGCGTTCTCCACTGATTGGCATGTCTCTCGAGTGACCAATGTTTGGTGTCGGCTGCGTCACCTGGTCCGAGTCGTTGACCGTGATCTTCAGGCCTCGGAGGATCTCTCCCTCCGGCGGGTGTTCGTACATGGTCAGCTCGAAGCGGCTCTGGGGCCCGCTCTCGCCGTAGAAGGTGGGCGGGTGGTTGTTCAGGTCCACCACACGAATCGTGACTGTGGTCACCGAGAAGTCCACAAACCCACGGTCAGGCCCAACCTCTGAAGCCTTGGTTTAACGTGAAGAACGGGTTATGTCATGCATGTAATTCATACTTAATCTTTACTGATATTCATATTATAACTACAGCCAACCTTGACTTTTAACTCGTATAACTCATTCCTCAGCTGTACTGGAAATGACGTCAGGCTGATCGTCCCACTGGTGCTGTTGATGATGAAGAAGCCGTCGCTGCCTTTGGCCAACAGAAGAAGAAGACACAGACGGCGTACGATCGATTTAGATGAACTTTCTAAGTATTACTGAATCTATGATGCTCTTAGTTTAGCACAATCTGCACAACATTATTAACATCACAGCATTATTAAGACAGAACTTGGTAAATAAATTGAACTAGAGAACATGAACGCAGACGTTCAGCACTGAAGCAGTAAACGCAGCTGACCATTGAGGACGGAGTAATGGACGGGATTGGGGTTGTTCTGGTCCCCGTCTTTGGCAAAAACAGTGAATATCTCTGAACCCTGGACAAAAAGACAGAACATTGGCATAAAAGCTCAGGGAGGACTGTTGAAATATACAGTATATGAAACAGTGTCATACTTACTGGTACAGAGACTTCATAGACAAATCCAAAATACGGAGTCCCAACAAACACTGGAGGAGAATCCTGGATGTCAAGGACATTGATGGTTACGATGGCTGTCGAGGTCATGACCTGGTATTTCCCATGATATTTACCTCCTCCGTCCTGAGACAGACCGAAACACACAGATGATCGGACACTTACTCAATTAAAGGACCACATGGGAAACGACGATCCGAGGAACTTCTGCTCATCTTTGAACTTCATTTTTACAACATAAAGGCATTTATGAAAGATCAAAGCAAACACCATAAAGCAGGATTCTGCGGCTCACCTTTGCAACAACAGTGACAAAATGAGTCCTGGCGAGTTCGTAATCCAGCGATTCACCGGGTCTGACGCGCAGAACGCCACTGTGACCGTCGATGCTGAACTTACTGCTGGACTGCAAACGAAACGACAACTGGTGAAGATTTCTTTCCTGAAATATATAACCAGTCTCTCAAGATTACAGTCAGTTTGTGTTTAAACTCAACCGTTTTAGACCAATCAGTTCCGAGTCCGACAGATGACTAAAACTCAAATGGCACACACTGAACCGCCACTACAAGCTGCTTGTCACGGTGTGCGTGTAGATGATCCAACAAGAACGAGATGTGTGACGCAGAACAAACTATTTACAAGAGGCTTTAATGAACACCTAGAGCTATAACCACAGGACTGAGAGACCAGCAGAACAGGGAACGGGTGCCAAACTAATTAGAAACCATGGTAACGAGGGAGAACTCAGGTGACAGTGACGATGAGCGTGACACAGGTGATCTCTGAAACAACCTGATCGTGAAGTACGCTTGATGAAGAATCTGGTTTCTCAGAGCAACACTGATGCACTTTCTGCATTGTTTACACCCAAACATCTAGTGTTTTAACCCTGCGTAGATTCTGCCTGCCGCTGTTCGTGGATGAGTAGTGTATATGTAGTGTATGAGTAGTGTATGAGTAGTGTATGAGTAGTGTATGAGTAATGCATGTTTAGTGTATATGTAGTGTATGAGTAGTGTATGAGTAATGTATGTGTAGTGTATGAGTAATGTATGTGTAGTGTATGAGTAATGTAATTCCTTCTAGTCTTTCTATTCATTTGAGCTCATAAAAGCTGAGTGTACACTAATTATATCAGGAATGATGAAGAGGATTGTTTAAAAAAATAGAAGTGTGTGTGTGTGTGTGCGTAAGCCAGGCTAAGCCACCTGCCTAAATGTAATTGAAATTTAATCCAGTAGCAGAACAGTTTCTGATGGCCCTTTAGTGTCAGGGTCTGTTCGCCAGCGTCCCACACGACTGTCCTCGACCCACAGTCGAATCTCATCCTCAGTGGTCATTATTTTAAACTCATTCCCCTGAGAACGAGTGACACTCATAGACATAATATAGAGCTAGACGCCCTATTGGCCGCTGGGTGCAAGAAATGCGGCCGCCATCTTTAACCGGTCATACTCCTATTAGCATTGCGTAGAAGCAGTTAAGATGCCAGAGCACTGTGCAGCATATTCATCATATTCATCATATTCATCATATTCATCATATTCCTGCTCAAATCGGCGAACCATCGCAAATAGGGCTCGGGGGATTACTTTTCACAAATGAGATTTAACATTGGTTGTATTTTGTGTATTTGTACCATGTGTCCTGTATCATAGCTACATGTATGACCTTTGCAGCAAAAAAACAAAAACAAAAACAAAAAAAAACAGATAACCTAACCTAACCCTAACCCAAACAGATTACACTGAGCGGAGCGGGTGACCGGTCTACGACGGCGGCTCCACGGCTCGTCCGCACCAGTCGGCAGCAGCGGTCGATAGGGCGTCTACTCGCTATTATGTCTATGGTGACACTGACGCCACAGGAAGTACTCTAGGTCAGGAAGTAGTTTATCTTCACCTGCAGGAAGTAGGAAACACTTCCCCCGGAGCCGATGTCTCTGTCGACGGCCTGGACTCTGTAGAAGCTGCTGCCCGAGGGAATGTCCTTCAACACAGATCACAATCATGTGGACTGTGTTTTATAACACACACACGCACACACACACACATATATATATTCATTTCCAAACTGATTTCACTCTCACCTCAGGGACATCCACTATAAAGGGTCGATTTAAAAACTCAGGCTTTTCGTCATTAACATCTGTGATAAACACTCGAACATTTTCTACCACCTGAAGAAACAAGGTATAAAGTAAATTTGATCTGAAAAATTGGATATGCATTGTCAATTAAATTATTATAAATATGAAAGCACATTAAACACAATAATATGCAGAGGACTATGGGACTAAATAATAATTAATTAACAAAATCCTAAATGAACGATTATTTCTAAAAACATTCCTACAGCCAAACGAATAAGAATAAGTATAAAAATGTAACATAATCACATTAATGTAAAGGTTTCTTTGAGATATTAGCTGTCATTAGATCACAGAACGTATTACATGGCTTTATGGATAATGTTCACGTATGATGAATGATGAATGTCATGTATATGGTTCAAATGTATTCTTGTGTAATATTAGTGTCTACTGTGTATTTTGCTAATATTGGGGGATATCCCTTTAAGGTTGAGGACGCTCTTGATTACCCATTACTGGGCACCTAAGTGTTTTAATGGTGGTGAGGTGTGTTTGGGGAAATGGCGTGCCAGTGTTGTTTGCTGCAGCGTTAAAGAGTAAAGCTTTCCTTATGGGCTGAGAGATTCCAACCGATTCGTCAAGTAATGGATTTAATGGGACAAAATATATTTTAACCACCTGGATTTCCAGCAAGAGGACGTGCTTGGACTCAAGTTCATAACTGTGTGAGTTATCATTGTCCGACGATCTACAGAGCTGGTGAGATCTGACTTTACTTTTTCATTTTTTTGAGTGGAACACCAAAGAGTCAAGGCTCTAGTTTTTCACTTTGTTTGTGGATTACGTTTTTTGTCACGGAGCCAACAGAGGATAATTTCTCGCGAACGGACTGTATATTTGGTTGGAAAGACTGTAGCGCGATCTTGAGCCAAACTGGACATTTGTTTTGGATAAAGTGTATGAACTGGGACAGAGAAGTGGGGAAATTGTGGGGTTGCACGCAAGGGACCGCGCTCAGCGCGTCAAGCAAATTAATGGATTGATAGGCCTATGTGTTTTTTTTTTGTTTGTTATTATTATTTTTTTTTTTTGTGATCTTCAGCGCCGTCTGAAGATTTGTTTTGGGAAGATTTGTGTGTTTCAAAAAACTTCCATGCATTTGTGTTTGAGCATGGTTATTTGATATAGAAAATATTTAGAATGTGTTAGGATTGAAGTGTATTTTTCTGATTATTGCTGACATTCTAAAGATCCCCTTGTGCGTTTATAGTGATATCTGTGAAAAACAAAGAGTTAAACGCAGATTGTTACAAACATAAGCAAAAGAATAAACATGAGCATAAGCAGGAGCCGTGCTGTTCACACACATCGGTGTTGTGACACAGGGTGTGACTCCTGATCAGGAGATTCGCTTCTTCTCGTCATCATTCTCGTGACGTTTGTGACGTTGGTGGCGTCCGTGGTGTTTGTGGCGTTCGTGACATTGGTGGCGTTCATGGCATTCGTGACGTTTGGCATCCGTGGCGTTCGTCGTGTCTGTGGCATTTGTGGCGTTTGCGGTGTTTGTGGTGTTTGTGGCGCTCGTGGCGTTCCTGCCGTTTTTGGCTTTGTGGTGTTCGTGGCATTCGTGGCGTTCATGGCGTTTGTGGCGCTTGTGTTCTCTGTCGCAGGTGAAGAGATTAGATGGGCGTTTGTGCCGTTCGTGGCGTTCATGGCGTTTGTGGCGCTTGTGTTCTCAATCGCTGATGAAGAGATTAGATAACTGTAACTTTTTACAAACACGTTTGTTTAGACGTTTACATGTAGCAACACTTTTCATTCAAAACTTTCTCTACTGCTTAATACAGCACCAGAATGTAATTTTTTATCAGTTTTATGTTAATACACAATAAAATTACATTAAAGAAAAGTTTTTACTTTTATAAAAGTATGGATTTGTGAAACCGCTGTCGTCATCGTTGATCTTTTGCCACTGTGACGTCTCCAGTTTCTACCCAACATGCACCTCTTCGGGTGAGATGCGATCGGTCTGACAATGGTTCACTCTTTATAGTTAAACTGACCAATGACTGACCGCGACTGAAACGGACATGCCACTAACAGCTGAACATACAAACAATGATGCTCATCCTCTTTAAGAAGTTAGTCTGTAATTCAATCTTATTGTAATGGTGTTTTTGACCTTGTTTCTTCCATCTGTGATGGTCACGCATGCGGCGATCTCATCCTGAACCTGAACAATCAAAACAAGTTTAATTATTACCACAAATCTCAGACGTCAGCTGCTATTCCTCCTGATTTATGTCCTTATATTGTGCCGTAGTAATGACACACACTCACCTCTCTGTCCAGACTTTCCACGAGCGTCACATTCCCTGATTTGGGCTCAACACTGAAACACTCTCTGGATCCCTTATCAAAGGTCATGCCATAGGTCACGGGTTCCCCTTCTGGGTCGGAGCCATTCAGCGTGTACACATGAGTCCCTGTGGAGAAGCAGTCCAGATGTGTTCATACACTACGACCCCAAACCCACTGTCACTGTCACTCATGTCGCATTACAATGAGCTAAATATCTGATATCATGAAAATGGAGAAATACACTTCTGAACACAAATATGAAGTCCGCATGATCAGAGGTCAGTCTCATCTAGTATTAGATGTTCCTACAGAGGTGTGCTTGAACACTCACCCACAGCCGTGTCTTCAGCGATACTGAACAGCGCCATGTTTCCGTTGTTGCTGCCAGATCCATTATCATAGAAATACGGTGCGAAATCAGATTTGCCTGAAAACACAGATACTTCAAACTCAGCATCAAATAACACAGACATACACTTCCAGTGTTGAACATCAGGATGTTCACTCAAAAAACAGTGTAGGTTGTGATGTCTTTGTTAGATTGACAGCATGCAGACGAATCACGGACACAGAATCTATTCAGAACAATTCTAATGAAACTCAGTCTTAGTACGTGAGAATTACATGCGTTTTAGATAAATACTCTAAACATAAAACAATAGTTCCATTGTAAATTGTACTGTTTAAAGTTAAAGGTGTATATTAAAGTAACCCAGTAGCTCTGCTCAGTCCATTATACTTAAAGGATTATAGAGACTCTCAGAGATCTGAACCTGATTAAAGTATTCTCTCAGAAACACAATCACTCACCCGTACACACACAGAGAGACAGCAGAAGAAGTAAAGTCTGTTTATTCCTCATTCTGTAGAGAGAGAGAGTGAGTGAAGAAGCAGCCGCTGCCCATCTGAAGACGTCTTTAGAGGTGTGTGTGTGTGTGTGTGTGTGTGTGTGTGAGAGAGAGAGAGAGCGCAGGAGAAGCAGACGCAGTAATCCTGTGACTCACTGCAGCTCATGCCTGAGACCTGGAACAACACACACACACACACACACACACACACACACACACACAAAGAAAGCATTAGGTTAGTTTATAACAAGTTGTTGTTGACCACACACACACACACACCGCAGCTCCTGCTCTCAGGGTTCTGTATGGGCCGTTTGTTCTGTGACTTCGGACCAAGAGAAATGGAAGGACCGAACCTGTAACCCGTCCTCATTCTGCTGCAGCTGCTGGGAAAGCACATCTGGCTCTGAGCTATTCCAGGGTGCGGGGTTAGGTGTGTGTTCACACACACACACACACACACACGTCACGCAGAACATCACGAGAATCGCTCCGCTATAGAGTTGCAGGAAGAACAGAAACGCTTCAGCTTTACTCTAAACACACCGATGGCTTTCTGCGTGAAGCTGGATCTCGCTGCAGTTTCAGTGGCTCGGTGGAGCTTCTTATTAATGCCCTTAAATATAAAACATGAGGTTTCCTTTATTTACTGTGACAGAATCATCAGGTCGCAGCTTCTATTCTCAGCGCAGGACGAATCGAAGCTCACCGAGGAACATGATCAGTTCACATGCCGTCCGTGATCGTACATCGCTCCTCCTGCAGAATGACTGTTGAACGACTAACCCTAACCCTGGCAGAAACAGCAATTTAATAAAAGACATCCCTCTCAACATAGCATCAGTATTAGGAGCGAATCTTCTGTCTAGTAATATTATTCATTAACTGTAGCTGTTCACGGTGGTGTTCATGTTTTAATCAGTCAGAATTTAGAGATTTAACAATGTGTATGTAATGGTGGAGAAGGCAGTAAATATAGAGACTACATTACTCTGGCGTAGGACTACAAACCCCATCAGCCAAGAGGAAACCAAACTCTTCAGGCTTTCTGAATTCAGAACTGCATAATAACAAATTATCATACTATTCTTATCATTTTTGCCAGAGAAATATATAAGAGTAGTATGGTAGCTGTAGTGCCCTCGAGAGCCACAGGAGGGCACTCTCTCTTTGTGTTATGTTTTCACCTCGGACTCATTATGTTCAGCTGTGTTTCATTGTTGGTAACTGAGTTCCTTATTTAAACCCTGTGTCCTTTGCGAAGTCTAGTTACACTGTAAACGTGCATTTCTGAGCATTTATCCCTGTTCTGTTTCTCTGTGTATCCCTGGACTCTTTGTCTTGACCCTTGACCCTTGTCTGTATCCTGGACTGTTCACGAACCTGTGCTGCCTGCCTCGACCCACGCGTGATTGGATTGGCCTTGTTTATTTTTGTGCCTGGTTGATTCCGGCTTATGTTCAAGTAGGGCTGGGCGATATGGCCAAAAAATCATATCTCGATATTTTTTGGTCAAATGGCGATATACGATATATATCTCGGTACTTTCTACGTTTTCTATTTAGATAAAGAAAATCTTTATATTAAAAAAAAAAAAAAAAAAAAAAAAAAATATATATATATATATATATACAGTATATTCACATTCGGCCCAATGATATCCTACAAACAATGTTGATATTGAAGGATATGGAAACAAATATAATATAGGCTATGCAATATATTATGTGCAAAAAGCTTTTGTTTTTATATTGACTAAAAGCTAAACTAAAAATGAAAATAAAAACAAAAACAAAAGCACAAACTAATTATATTAGCCTGCATTTGATTACCCCATTATAATCACTTTCACTTTCATTAAAAATATATACTTGTAGGTTTAAAATTCCACATATGGCACATTTATTTTCTCCAACAACAAATATTTTAGCAATATGTTTCTTTTAGTCAGAATTATTGCGTACTACGTAGTACTATTCACGCGCATGCGCGCGCCGGCGCTCGTTCAAGGAAGCATGAATTTTAGCGGAGATTCACTTGCAGAAGCTCGTCCTCTTCTGACATGGACATATTTGTTGTGAAATGGACATATTTGCTTTACTTTCTAACATTTACAGATGGAGAATATGTGAAATGTAAGTTGAGCACTGAGGAAAGCACCACATCTCAAACGCATTAAACAGCGCAAGTATATCTGTCAGTCAGCAACAGTGTCTGTCAGAGCATTTATATCAAAATATATATCAAAGTGATTTTGACGCAATTAATATAAGCTTGTGTCATGTTTAGGACAAATTGTACTACGTAGCCTAGCTACTTTCACTGCAGCAGCTCACACTGCAACCTCCGCTATTTTTCAGATGTGCTCATATCAAACTACTGTATCGATATAAACGGTATTGCCTCATTCCATATCGTTTCAAAAAATATAACGATACATCGCACATATTCGATATATCGCCCAGCTCAAGTTCTAGTAAAGTTCTGCGCGTGGATCCGACCGTCTCAGTCCGTACGTCACAGGTAGTGTTCACTGTTCAGCATGTCTAGAGCTGCAGGAAAGTTGTACAGTTTTACTGTATGCATTTGCTGTCTTTAGAGAAGGTACGTTGATTTCTTAATATAATATTCAACATTATTATTGATCTGCATCGACTGACTGCACTGAGCCGGACGATGACATCGCGGTTTTCTCCAGCGCTGCTGTATCGACAAATGAACTAAATTAATGACTAATGAACAGAAATGACCCATCACTGAGCTTACTTAATCTGGACTGACGCTGTTTTCTTCTAGATCATTTCCCTGTTATCTCCGTAATGCTGGCTTGAAACACTCGGTGTTGTAAAACGAGCTGTAGAAATAAAGCTGACTTGACTTGATCTAGGCAGGTTTATTTAATAATACATGTACTGATTTTAATTAATTTATTGAAGCATGTGAACATTTTTGTGTATTATGTTTTGTATATGGCAATCATGAATTGTATGTTTGCTGCATGATTGTCGTTGACTTTAGGATCATTGGTGTCTGAAGAGATGAGTGTAATGTTTAATTCAATTAATCCAATTTTATTTGTAGAGCTCCTTACAACAGCCAAAAGGTGCACAAGGCGCTTTGCAGTAAAAACGCCAATGAACAACAATCTATAAAAACATAAGTGTGTTGCTAAAGGCCATTACCCTAGTTTTTGTATTATACTCACCACTAGGGGGTGCATGGGCGTTATAAATTTAAATTAGTAGTGGCATAGAAGAACACAGTTTGTTTGGAAGAGGGAAGCATGTTTCCGTCCTGGTTTCATCCCGTTCTCATCCTGTAGCGTCTCATAGAACGCTATATGACAAAACGGCGCTATACGACGCACATGGCACCCGTTATCGTTAATATTCACGCGAACCCAAGGCGTCATAAATCCTTTCGCGTAATATGAGACTACCCTACCCTGCCCCCACCTAAACCTAACCATCACAGCGCGTTAACGATAACGGGTGCCATGTGCGTAGTATAGCGCCGTTTGTCATGGCGTTCTAGATGACGCTAGAGGATGAGAATGCGTTGTTCATCCTGGTTCCAGTTCAATCATGTAAGTTTTGTTTCTTTATGTTGTCTATAATGTGTGTGTGGGCTCTGTAGCGAATGCTAGATTTCTTTTGTAGCTGTTTTTTCTTTATATCGGGGTGATTATCTGTACGAGTTGTTAAGGCTCTACTTATATGGACATCAAGTGGTTTCGATGGATTGTGGATTATCAAATATCCGAGTCCTAGGATTAGACTCTGTGGGATATCTTGTTTTTCTTGGATTATTTGAGGAGCTCTCGAAGGACGATTTTTCTAGTTTTTGTTTCATCATCAGCGGGACTTGGACATCATCCTAAACATTGACTCTTTCAACTTTAATTGTAGTAATTCTATCCTTACGCAGAGAATCACTCGTATACAACCTTGAACTGATCAGATAAGTTTTTATTTATTTATTTTCATTGTCATTCTTTCTCTATTGATTCTCCTTACTTTACAGACCGTCTGTTCATTTACTGGACTGGTTTTATTTGATTTCCTTCTCATGTAAATACACTGTTCTGTTTATATCTTCTGGTTTATTTAAAACATTCAGTTTACTTAAAGGTCTTTATTGTTTGTGACAGCACACTGGGAAACATACTAGATATCTTTTAGCAGCGTTGAGTTAATAGTTTGGTGTTGATGTGTCTGTTATGCATGTGTATAAATATACTGAAGGATTCACAGCGCTTCATTTTTTCCACATTGTTATGTTACAGCCTTATTCCAAAAAGGATTACATTGATTATTTTCCTCAAAATTCTACAAACAATATCCCATAATGACAGTATGAAAGATGTTTGTTTGAAATCTTAGCATATTTATTTATAAGTATTCACAGGCTTTTTTGAAGCACCTTTGCCACCAATAACAGCTTTTGAAAAGTGTTTTCGAGTGTGATGCTACACCCGTTTGAGCGTCGTGCCGTTCAGAGATCAGTGTCAGTGGGTTGAGGGAACGCTGGCGTGTCTTTGCTGCTGCTAATCCCTGGTTTCTTTAACTGTGTGGATTAAGTATGTGTGGTTTCTGCTGGCCTGGACAGTCCTGTCTTTGGTTCCTCATCCATCGACTGCACTGCTCCACTCTTCTTCTGCTGAGCTTCTGAGGTTTCGTTTATATCTACATGATCCACCATCACCAGCTCTGCTTTCACACACGGACAGTTTACACTTGTCTCGTCGGAAATGCATTCACCGTGGCTCTCGTCGGAACGTTCAGTATGATAAATCCAACTCCATAAACTATGATAAATCCAACTCCATAAACTATGATAAACCCAACTCCATAAAGTCGTAATCCATAATCAATTTATAGTTAGATCATTGTAAGGAAATGAATAGACACTCATTTGAAATGTAATGTGTGAATTGCCTTTTGAAATACTAGTACTGTGATGTTAAGTTGTCATATTAAAAAAAGGTGATTTTTGTTGAATGAAGTTTTATGAGTATTGTATCCAAGCAATTGAGAAGTGGGTTGGAGTTTTGAATTGAGAATTGGTTGTGAGTTTTGTGTCTAGAGTTGTGAAAAATGACATCTGGGTGTACAAAAAACTGTAAAGTCATTCATAACCTTTCCCCTGACCTCCTCCACATGTCCTCACCCGCTTGCACTCCCAGATCCTCTTCTTACATCCATTTACTGTTCCAGACGGGCTGTCATGTGCCTTTACTGAGGAGTCACTGCCGTCGGATGGTCTTCTCTCTCCACAGAGAAACATTGGAGCTCTGCCGGTGACCATCGGGTTCTCCGTCTCCTGCCTTACTGATATATATATATATATATATATATGAAGAGTTCAGATGCAAAAGCCTCTAAATGCCATTTGAAATGTTCTACTTTAATTATGATTTTTATCAAACTTGTATATTTAAGTTTAGTAATTTCACTTAAATAACAATTAATAGGTAATCATCATTGCCATTTAAGTGAAATTACTGAACTTAAATATACAAGCTTGATAAAAATGATCATTCTAGAAGAAAATTTCAAATGGCACTTTAGAGGCTTTTGCATCTGAACTCATCATATATATATATATATATTTCTATAAATTAGCAAAGATATTAAACAAACTTCTTTCACGTTATCATCATGGGGTATTGTTTGTAGAATATTGAGAAGTAATGAATTTAATCCATTTTGGGAAAGGCTGTAACAACAAAAGGAACAGTTTCGGGAATGAAGGTTTGGTCAATATTTTTCAGAAATACTGATACTTTCTTTTCTTTTGCATCTTCGGTCATACTGAGAAAACAACAACATCGTTTTTCTGGTGTTCTTCAGTCAGTAAAAGCATCTCTTTATTGTCTGTAGTCATTTACAGCTCGTAAACGGTCGGTGTCTTAAGGACGGTTTCTCAGGTGCATGTGCAATAATTGTTTATGGTTCATCCGTATCAAAATATTCTAACCTAATCTAACCTTATCAAATTAGGATTTTATAAAATTACCTTTAAAATACAGTAAGGTAAAAGGGACATTTGCTTTTTTTTTTTGCTGAGTTTGTATATGTGTACCTGTATTGTTCCAGACTAGAGCAGGATCTGCAGCGTGTGTGTGAGAGTGTGTGTGTGATCTGCAGTGTGTGTGTGAGAGAGTGTGTGTGATCTGCAGCGTGTGTGTGTGTGTGAGAGAGCAGTGTGTGTTTCGTGATATTGTGTGAATCTCCCTCTGCTGGTCTGTCCCAGAAACTGCACCATCACACGAATCCTCCAGCTGGCAAAGCATCTGTTTTTAAGGCTACTCCTTTTTTGTTTTTGCAGACCTGTGGATACTGACAGTAACTGCATATTAATGGAGTTGAAGTGTTTTGGCAGTGAATGGGACTTGCAGTCTCAATTGAATATTCCCTGTTTTTTTAAAGTAAGTTGCACCTGTGACCTGTGCTGATGTTCCCGTCCGCTCCGTTCAGGATCTAATCAGCATCCGAATACAGATCAGGCGGCCGAGAGGATTAATCGTTAATCTCACTGTCGTCTGCCGCTGGTAGAGCACAGATAAAACACGAATGTCTGTCGATGCACAGATGCCTTCACTATCACAGATGTGTGGATCTGTCCCAAACACACCATCGTAATCTGGATTATAGGTCTTAATCGATGAGATCAGAAAACACTGAATTTGTCTCAAGGAAACCAATGAAAGGGTAAACTAACATAATATGAGATTAATGTTTGGGAGCATATCTGAATCTGAAGTTTGGGGATTCAACATCATTCTGCTATAAAGTCCAGCGATATTTCTAATGTCTTTAGATCTCACGAGGGCTGCAAGATACACTCCAAAACGTAAAGTAAACGTTAAAACACATACTGTTGTGCAAATTGATTAAAATGCTACATTTGGTATTACGCTGGGTGTGTAGATGAATGGGATTGGAGTTGGTTATTTCAAATAACGTCGGCCATTTTTCACTGGTTACACCAGACATTTGGCATTACCAGGACACACAATTACCCATTGCATTATTATACATTATAGTCAACATTATATATTAGTTTAATGTAGTACTGACACTAATACACATTTTCTGACACAAACATTTTCATGGGTAAATTTGTACAAAATACAGATTGTTGCATTCTGGTATTGCGATATCTTTCCACCCCTAGATAACACTGTCCCAAAGACAAAAATAGCCCTGCGTGATGTTGGTAAATTGTCTCGTAAAGTGGCGCTCGATGTCTGTTGCAAAGCAGTAAACTGAACAATTAAGATGTAGTAAATTGCAAATGCAATTAAAGTTTATTGAACCACGAGTGCCAAACTTTCAGAACACAAGAATCACCGTGAAACGAGCATTGCTGTGCTGGGAGCTAATTTGTAAAATAAATAGACAGAAATATTGTTGTAATTCCACCGAATGCTGAACTCAGAAGATCTGCACTAACCCGCATCATTAAATCACTGTCCTTTTACTGTCTGACATGCGATTCAGTTGAACACAATCCGAAGTTTTTCTGCTTTTAAACAAATGAATGCAACATTAACGATATTCAGCTCCATCTTCTCCAGTCCAATCTCATGTGGTCTCGCCTCGTCCGGTTGAACTACTTCCGCTTGTTCCCGCCGTTGGCCAGGATCATCACAAGCCGCATGAAGATGTTGAGCGTGTCCATGTAAATGCCCATGCACCTGCAAGAGAGAGACACGTGAGCGGATGCGGTTCGTGTGACGTCATGAAAGAGACGTGTTCTTCCTCAGATGACACTTACGCATTAATGGGGTCATATTTCTGAACGCCGTAGAGAGGGTGTGTCTCGGCACGCTTGATGACCTTCTGTGTGTCGTACAGCAGAAACATGCTGAACAGCAGCAGTCCCCCGTAGACGGCCACGGAGTAGAGCCCGGCCCCGAGCGCGGAGGTGGGCGGCAGGAACATGGAGCCTGTGGAGGACAGCAGAGGTCAGATCCTCTCGAGGAAACACATACCCAAAACAAGAACTGGTTGGGAACTGGTGCTGGTTCGGAGTGGGTTCAACTTGCGAACCCGTTCAGAAGCTGTTTGTTTTTCCACTGACTAGAGCGCCCAGGGAACGACGTCGTTACGTCACTGTGTACGTCGCCATACGTCTTAGCTAGAAACGCTTGCAAGTACAACATTACTTTCGGATTATCTCGTGCTTTAAAAACAATTGAAATATGTAAGTCTTTTAATCTTTTCGTTTGCTATGTACTCTTTTCTGATTAGTTATGTACCCCTGTCTTGTGTCTTTTTTCTTTCCATTTATTTGTTCTAGATATGTTTGTGACTTTTCTTCTAGATATGTTTGTGACTTTTCTTCTTTGCTTATAATGTCTTCAATAAAAAATTACAAAAATAGAAACGCTTGCGTTAACTTCAAGCATAACGATTACAAAGGCGGACTCCATCGTGTTTCTGCAAATGTTTCTCCTGGCTTTGCGATCCTTTATTATGGTCAGAAAAGATGTTCAGGACGCATCTAAACCCGCCCCAGCCCCCGACGTAAGCATGACGGGGTAAAGAACGGTTCTAGTCCAGCAAAGACTTGGTGCCGCTTTGGGACCAGTTTTCCCGGCCGAGAACCGGTTCTTTGGCTGTCGAAACACAACGAACGGGTTGGCGCGCAGACACCAGCTCCCAACCGGCTCTGGTGGAGTCCAGCGCCAGTGAACCGTACCCAGAGACGAGGCGAACACCACCCCGAAGCCCACGGCCAGCGGGCCGCCCATGCTCAGGAACTTCTCGCTGGGAGCACACATGGCCACCGTCGACAAACCTCCCACAATGCCTGCGGTATACCAGGCGGCTCGCATCACCAGGGGTCCGCCCAGCAGCGCCAGCGGGGCCACCACGGCCCCCATCACACCTGCACACAGGGAAGCACTTCAGTGCCAGTTCAGCAGCGTCATGTGACACACAGCAAAACACTTCATTAGAGTCATGTGACAGGAATACACTTCATTAGTCATGTGACACAGGAACACACTGCTCTGCCACTTCAGGAGGGTCATGTGACGAGCTGTTCGTCCACACAGGAGAGATGTTTATTTGCCTGAAGTGTTCTGCAGCATTAACCTGAACACAGCCCACAGCGCCCTCTAGGGGTCAGTGACCGGCAGTGACTGTACCTGCGTGCAGGGCCCAGGCCAGGTGTTTGGGCACGGGACTGTGCTCGTACGAGATCGACCTCACCAACATTCCTGCGCCAATCATAGCAGCGAACGTCGCACCGATAGCCTGTGGACAGCACACGTTAGTCACAGCACTGATCAAGACATCCTACCAATCTAGCATTTCTGCAAAATACACGAAACGCCACTTAAACTTTCCACATTCCTATGAAACTACAGGCTGGATCATTACAACAGTGTGTAATACGAGTACGCCAGACGGTGTGTGTGCTGGCAGAAGGGATCGCTGTCACGAAAAATCTATTTTAAGGGTTATGAAACCCCAAAGCAAGTTTTTGAGATGTGAACAGGTTTGTACAGGCTGCACATGAAAACACAAAGCACTCATACATGTTACAATACGTGGAAATTTTGTACAATTTCGTTCTTCAGGGTTGAAAAGCAAAGTCGAGCCAACGTGCGGGAATGTGAGGTAGCAGTGCCCTCGGAGCGTGTGATTGGCAGAATGTGAGGTAGCAGTGCCCTCGGAGCGTGTGATTGGCAGAATGTGAGGTAGCAGTGCCCTCGGAGCGTGTGATTGGCTGAATGTGAGGTAGCAGTGCCCTCGGAGCGTGTGATTGGCTGAATGTGAGGTAGCAGTGCCCTCGGAGCGTGTGATTGGCTGAATGTGAGGTAGCAGTGCCCTCAGAGCGTGTGATTGGCTTGTTCTACGTAAACCGGCGCTCGGTGAATGACAGACGGTCCGTGTTCTGAACTGATGTGATAAAGCGATCGGTCTGTGTAGCGCCGGTTCATTCATGAGAAAGACCTGGTTCAGTCCAATCACTGCGGAGAATTCAAACATGTGCGCATGAGAGCGGTGTCTGGGCGTTACGCCGCGATGAGTTCAACAACGCTCATCCCGCGGGTCATATCGCTCCTATACGGACCGGAGCGAACAAGTTTCAAAGTATGGACATGTTTGATATACTCGTACCAGCAGAGTGTGTGCGCACGTCTTCATCCGATGAAATATCTGTGCACACTAGGGCTCTGCCGTACGTCTGACCACCAACACGGCGACGGGTTCTTCTGATGATGTAGAGCGGCGGTTCCCAAAGCGGTCCTGGAGGAGCCCAACACTGCTGGCTAATCTATCACACCAGGTTCAGCTGATCATCATGGGTCAGGACGGCTCGGTCCAGGACGGGTTAGGGAACCACTGATGTACAACTCACAGAACACTCAGAAAAGTAACTATACCGGCATTACTGTTGACCTGAGCGGTGTGTGTTCAGAGATGGCACTGCTCCCTCGTCAATGTAATGGAAATATTATTATTAGACCTTTCAAATGTTCTTCCGCGTTTCTCCCTTGTTGTGATATCGGGTTAGATTATGGATGACCCTCAACTCTTATTTTTTCTCAGGGCCATATTTTAATATGCAAGTGTCTGTATAATGAGTGTGTCAGGTCTGTGTTTTATCGGTTCCCCCTCTACATGCAGAATCAGGCTAAAATGGGGATTTCATGAAAGGCAAAGAATAAAAAGTTTGTTAATTCATAAGATCTGTTGCGTACCATCCAGGAGCCCCTCATCATGAGTCCCATGAGCGCCGGCGTTCTGCTTACGGCCACCGCGGACAGAGCCGTCAAACACACACTTCCAGAGAAATACATGTATGTGGAGTGGATCCTGTCCTTCACGTACTGAGGCCAGATCCTGCAAACACAGCTTCAGTTCGTCAGTCTCAACGAGAGCTTCGTCATCACGTTCATCACATCTTTCCTTTCTGCTGGCATGACGAGATCTAGGGGCCGTTTTGTGTTTTCTATTTTAGCTGCATAAGCATTGACTTCTTTTACACAACAGCAGTGTTTTGGGCCCTAAAGAAGCAAACTTTTGAGAACAGGGTTATTCAAACTGCAAATGATCCTGCTATCGTCTCCATGTTAACTACAAAAACGTGTATGTGTGAAACCAGTGACATCACGTGTGTTGCACGTTTCTAGTCGTTTTGGCGGATCGGTCTGAACGGAGATCGTTGTGAAGAACGAATCCTGCCCTTATAGTGTTAGGATGTGCAAGTGACTCTTACACTGCTTTCTCTATGGCTCCCATCTCGTTGGACATCCCGAAGCCGTAATAGCACAGCGCTCCCAGTCCCACCGCGGCGCCTCCCGCCAGCATCACGCGGCCCATGGTGTGCACTGCGGAGAACACACAACACTCACACACACATCTTTCACTCTTTAGAGTTTGTGGGATTAGACATTGAAGGATGCGTTCGTTACAGAATCAGATCAGGGCCTCGTTACGCAAAAGCTGATCGTAGATGCATTAGTGGCGGTGCTTCTACGACCTACTTAGGCTTACGATGCTTTTGGGAAACGCAGCACAGACTGGTACTAACATCCGTCTCAGCTGATCCGATCCCAAGCTCTATAAATACAGCTGTGAACTGTATCTGAAACTGCACAGGTGTCTCCTCTCTAACGAGCCTAACGAGAGAGAGTCCGGCTGGGATCGGATCTCCTGAGACGGATGTTTTACACCAGGGCTGAACAACGGCAATAAAAACAAGTGAATCCTAACAGAAGAACACGTGAACAGAATTCACTTTTAATAGCGGTGTCAGTAGCGGGTTCGAACGCCGCCTCCTGAAACTGCTCTCTGGAAGTCTTGCTCCGCCGGAAGCCCAGTCTCGTCTTGGTGGAATAACCCTGATTGGACACAACACCACATTTAAAACCATGGCTGGCTCTGGACTGCGTGTGTGTGTGTCAGTCTAGGTGAGGACAATACCTGTGTGGGTCTCATCAGGGGCCGACAGGAGCTGCGCAGGGCGAACGGAGTCTGACCGAGGGCTGACCGGAGCCCAGCCACAGGAGCCGAGCGCAGGCATGACAGCCGTGAGACCAGCATCACTGTCTGCTAACCTGTGTTAAACGCGCAGACATCAGGCCCGGGTTAAACCTTAGTTCAATTTGGACATTTAAGTAGCTTTTATAAACATGCCTCAGATTAAAAAAAACAAAAAAAAAAACATTACTTGTGTGCATCTTGGGACAAAACATTGGCACTGACTTAATTTAAGAAAAGTGGTTTTCAGTTAAAACATCAAAAACGTGTATTTTAGTCTGGACTAGATTAAGACCAAAGTAAGAGCTGACAAGACACAGAGTAAATACAATCTGTATAAACGGCAAGACAGGACAATAAAAGTATTATTCAACTACAAACTAATGTTCAATAGTGTGAATGTTAGAATTGCCAAATATGAGTCCAGTGGCTCGTTTGTAAAACATTCCTGAGAACAAAATTTACATTTTCTTCTTGTTGTTGTTTAATGGCGATCAACTCCAGAGGAGCATTATCGCAGATATTTACACTGTAATTCATGTAAAACATTACGTTTCAAAGTAAAACTCACCAGTTGTTCTGTTATCTGATTTCACCTTCGAGATGCGTCTTCACCACTGACGCAACACACGGTAAAACAACTTCCGGAACCTTCCAGAGTGACGTCACGCAACACCCGCGCAATGCACTGTGGGTCTTGAAGTTGTTTTGTTAACTGTTAATCATGTTCCGCTTGTTTATTTAATTTTTAATATTCATTCACCACCAGAATCACCAGAGGGAAAAGACAAATAAATAAAGCACTATCTGCTACTGTTAAGAAAGAACAATCATTTAAAAATTATTTTTTAAATAATTTACAAACACTGCAAACACCCAGTATTTTCACTGCTTTCCTTTTGATTTATGGGTGTAAAACTGTGGGTGTATTTTAAAATAGTCTTTCTTTACATCAGTCATTAATCAGCAAAGCTAACATCATTTATAATTCGAAAATTCTATTATACCTTTAGTTTTTAATTCATCTGTATGTATTATGATAAAGATACAATTGGACTAAATATAGTTTATAAATCGATTCACATGTAATCTAATAATGAAAGCCGTTGTTTTATTTAAATATGAGGAGTCCTCTTTTCAGCAGTCCCGCAATAATCAGACACAGACATCTTGTTGAAACAATGATTGAATTATCTTTTATTATTTCCACGAGGAAATACTTATTCAATTTTGCTGTCGTTGTGATTAGAGAAAGAAGCTAATAAAATAAATCATGAATAAGTGCATGGCGTTTGTGTAGAAGTAGACTCGCTGACGTCATGGCTCACGTGACATGCGTCTCTCTCTCTCTCTCTCTCTCTCTCTCTCTCTCTCTTTGCCTCCCTCTCTCTCTCTCGCGTTTAATGTGAATCGCAATCTCAATCAAAGCAAACCGTTTGCATTTTAAACCAAATGCATGTCGATCCGCTCATATTTGGGAGTTTTATTTGTATTCCAGTTTCAGACCTGTGTTTTGCTCATTTCTTCATTTAATAGTTTTAATATGTTAAAACGCCGGCCGCCAATGATTATTGAATGATGAATTCGCATGTTTTAAAACTATTGAACATTGAATTTTACACACCGTGATCTGGAGACTGTATTTCCATCAAAAAAACGGTACAGTATCTTCATCATCTTCTTCATCATCATCAGATGTGTGCTGACTGTCATGAATGATTTTCTGTCTGTCACCGATATATAATAACATGTTTTTGAATTTTCAGTGATATAGTAGGCTAACAGTGTCGCGACTGCATTATTCCTGCACTATTATTATTATATATCAGAATATATAATCATATCGTATAATATCCGTCACCAATAATATCTGCATTTACTGGAGATTTGCTGAAAAGAGTCTGAAGCGGAGGATGTTTTTTATCAGATATATCATGTATTCTGTCAGCCAGTCTCTCTAGTGTGTGTGTGTGTGTGTGTGTGTGTGTGATTGAGTGTCTCGTGTGTGTGTGTGGAATGTGACACTGATGTGAGGGGATCAATCCTCCAGCGCTTTGAGTTGATGTTGCTTGATGACAGTCAGTAGTCTGGATTTTGAATTCATGGTGTGAGAAAAGAGTGAACACACACTGAGGTGAACACACACACACACACACACACACACACACACACACACAGGACAGAACTTGTTTCTTAAACACCATCTGTTGCTGGACAGTGTCTCTCACTGTTATTATCACAGGTTATGTCTGAACGCTGATCTAATGTTCAGATTCCTGAGTGTTGGAGGTTTAGTTGTGATGAACTGGCGCTTTAGTAGCCTAAGGACAAACTTTATTCATAACTCAGATGATCTTTTACTCTTATGCTGTTGTGTTGGTGTAGTGTTTGCTAATGTACTAAACTAACCAGAAACCATGGCAACGACTCGACAGTGGAGACTGAGGGAGAGTGTGACAAATATAAAAAGAAAAAGAAATGAAATATTTCTTTCTTTATTTGATCAATAACGTGAAATTACCTGACATCAGGCTTTCCCAGACTGGGGTTCGTGAGTTCAGTGGAAAACTATTATAACACTTATTAACTAATATTTAATTTGTTTAGCTGCAATACCCACATCAGAGAACCTTGAACTAAATTTTGTTATTATTATTATTATTATTATTATTATTGACTACATTCAAATCTAAGTGCTTCATTCAAGTAAATATATTGTAGATTTGGGGAATTCTTGCGCTTCATGTAAATATGATATGAAGTGAATTATACTAACCGTGATCCTGCCGAACGGATATAAACAGTTAGGGAATTTTAGAAAGGAAAATTTAAGATACAAAAATAGTATATAATTTGAGTTTTTTTTTTAAAACATAATGTTAATATTATTAAGTAATTAATTTTTTGAATCTGATACGATAATTCCTGATGTGTAATGCCGGAAGCGTGAGTGTGTGTGAGACGTGTGGAGTCGAATACTGAGGCTGCTGCATTTAGTGCTTCTGTAAAACTCGTTTGTTGTTTCCTCATTAGTCTTGAATTATAACTTTTGCTTTAAAGTTTTTAATTTACAAAATTTGTTTTTTCTGTCTCTGTATTTGTAAACCGCTCGCTCTTCATGAGAAGTAAACAAACTTTACAGCGCTCTCTCAGAGGGGTTTGGTCAATGCTAAACTCTTTTATAGTCATAGTGCAACTGCAATCTTACATAATCATATTTATTTCTCCAAATAATAAACTAGATTTACTCTGTCTGAAACTTTAAGTGTCTGCCATGATATCCTGAGGTGTTTACCAGTGGCGGCTGGTGAAAATTATTGTAGGGGGGGCTGAATAAGAGGGGGGTCTGGGGGTTCCCCCCCAGAAAATTTTGAATTTAGTAGATGTGATTTCCTGCATTCTGGTGCATTTTAGGCCTTAGGCCATGCCCTTACCTATACCAATAAAATAACTTAAACCAGTCAATACCAATGGTCAAATAATACAATAATAATAATTTGTTTGACAGTTAATGATAATGAACAAGTTGCATGTTTATTATGCTCTGTGTGCTGACAGAAAAAGTGCAAACGCATAATATTGATAAATTATATATAGGTAATACAAAAAATAATAGGTAATACAACAATCTAGTTTAATCAATCCCCAGCTGTAGACTACATATTTTTGACAAATTGACAATTGGATAATGGATAACAATGTGTTGATACTAGAGAAAGAGAGAGAGAAAAGGCTCTGAAAAAGAGGGTGGGACAACGTTCTTGATTGTAACACCCAAGTATGAGAAGAAAGTTGATTTTAACTAGTATGAAACACAGTAATCTAGCTCAGAACTTAAAAACATCAAAAACAAAGCAAACACACAGGTATTAATATTCCTATAACTATTTTAATATCAAATGTGTGTGAAACAGTGTTTATGTGTGAGTGAGTGAGTGAGTGAGTGAGTGAGTGACAGAGACAGACAGGTCAATTCCCACGACTAACTTTACATTATTTCCACTCGACGTCACTGGCGCTGTAAAAAAAATGTCCCGTGGTGCGCGTGCACGGTGCACTCCCCTAATCTGATACTGTGGGCGATATTTTCAGCGCCCCTAAACCATAAAATTTGACGGCGCTGATTGGCGAAATATAAACTTTTTTGCATAGCAACCGGGGAACCATTGGCTTAAATTCCAGCACTGTGGGGCTGAGCAAACTGGCGCCCTGAGAAGACAGCCTATTGGCTATACTACTACACCAACATGATAAAAGTAACGAAAGTGAATGCAAATATCATTCTGGTGAGTTCATAACACTTTTCAAAGTAAAACCATTATTATCATATAATTAACACAGATTATTTTTCAAAATTATAAATTATAATATATATTTAAAAAAAAACAGACAGACAGGTCGGAGGGAGGGCGGCGCCCCAGCGCCCTCTATGGGCGAGCCGCCCCTGGTGTTTACTGGTATAATTGCAAATTTACTCCATCTATGTGCAGACATGAAATGTTAAGAAAGGCTTTTGGATAATTCATATGTCAATTATTCACGTTAGTTTCTGTTTCAGTTTACATTTGTTCAGCTTATTGAACAATTGAACACAGTTCCTGCATTAATAAAGAAGACTGTGGCATTTAGATCCTTTGGGTTTATTATTGTGACACTTGTATGGCTCAACAAAGATCAGCTCAGATATTAGAGGATATTCAGGCGATTTCACGTCAGCGTCAGCATTTCTACCCCAGTTGCTGTTAAGTGTAATAAATGAGTGTTGTCCTGTATATAGGCCCTTTCACACAGAGATTATGGAAAATACACGGAATTACACAAATACACGGATAATGTGACCCGGCATTTGTCCCGGGATTTCGTTGATTTGGGTTCATTCACACAGCCAGTGATTTGCCGGGATCTGTGAGTGCGTTCACACACAACCCATAAAGATCCCGGAAAGACTCGTGACTTCAGGATGAGACGTGTCACCTACGCGTTGAAAACATGTACACGCGCATACCGTTCCACAGCTGGTGAACGATCTCAGCTTCAGCGCGGAGCTCCTGGTCTCTGCTTCGTTTCAGTTCGTCCTTTCTTTGTTGATGACGAACACAAACTTTCTTCTAAGCGCAACGGCATCACTATGAGGCATCACCCCTTACGGCATTGGTCCTGGCTTTTGCTCACACAGCGCGCGTTCCTGGACTGATCCCGGCAATGTTACTAGGTCCCCAACCCGGCATCGATGCCGGTAACAATCCCGGGTCATGTTTGCGTTCACAAGGAAGGCGTTCTGGCAATTTTCCTGCAATTTCCCGGGATCCGCCCATAGGGGAGGGGCTATGTTACGGTGTGGGTTTTGTGTCTTGGCAAGTATTTGCTGACTTAAAGATCAGTTTATGTTATGTTATGCGTTTCAGAATGAACTTCAAATTGAGAGAGACGGGAGAACGCGCATCATGTTTATTTTCTTTATTTTACAAAAAACAACATTTTGTTTTTGAAATGTGTGAACACAAATAAAAGAAGACATTTAACAGTTTTGAATGATGTGTAACTCTTACATGTAAGATCAAAATCAACAGAGTAATTTGAGTCTCTTTTGCACTGATAAGAAAAAAAGTGATCTGGTATCGGCGGCGATACGGGCGAACCTAGAGAGTTAAAATAGTGCTTG